TTGGATCCTAAATCGAGTAGAGTTCGTTGAAGTTAATTGTAACGTTATTGTGACTGCGAACCATCTGAAGGACGGTGATGCAGATTTCGATTTCAGATAGCGCTTCATATCACGAGAGTTACCTAAATTAAATATCACTCGCTTTTACAGTCCACGGCCCATGTGTCTCCCTGGCAACGGCGCCAAAATCGTTTAACCGGAGTTATCGTCTTCTATCCGGTTCCCAATAATCCTTCGGATGTAATAGTCACTTCCCAACTCTAAAGATCTCCTCAAACTACCATTTTGTCAGTCTTCTACACACTACAAGCGCAAATACAATTGGGACTTATCAAAAAAATGTTAACTTCTTGTTTCCCAAAGCTTAAGCGAAAGCTTCAAAATTCATCCAAAATCTTTTCTCCCTGTCGATCAAAATATCTCCCAGATATCCCTGCTACTGTTTCTGAATCCGAACGCACGCGGCGATCAGCTGCCCCATCCCCAGAGGTGTCCCCAACAAACATAAAAAACCATGGAAAAGAAACAACAGACACCTCGATTGACTTGCAGTCCATCACCACAGAGCGTCACAAAACAGAGTCAAGCTCAACTCATGATCTGACTCAGATCCCGCGAGGAGAGTAGCAGGATTGGGCGGGTGGGTTATGAACAAGCAAAAGCCTTCGGGTGGCCACTTCCGTGGGAAACATGTGACAGTTGCCAGAGAACGTCAGTCAACTTTCTTTATCGGAGAACACCGTGCTTATCATTGGAGGCATGTAACGGATACAGCTCAATTGAAGGGGTTTCTCGTCTTGAGAAGATCCGAACGACGGATTTTCACGGCTCCGGCCAACCTAAGGACCGCTCGATTTGCCTCTTCGGGCAGTCTTTCCTTGTTTTTGAGAAGGCCTCATTGGGGAACACGGCCATGTCAACGCTGTAGGGCATGCTGCTTGGCCACGCATGTACCAATAGAGCCGAATCATGAGTTTCCGATTGACCCATGACATCTTTGGCTTGATCCGGGCGAGCATCTAACAAACGCAAAATTCGGTTGGCCCACACTTTTCGTCGATAGCTATGGCGTCTGCACTCAAAACAAAATAATTGCTTCGCAGCCAAAGATAATCTCTGCGCTAGAGGATATGCGAAAGAAGAGTTCTGGGAGAGCTGAAAGCACAATACTCCATTTATCCGGGATTCAATCGGCACGGTGTTTTGACAGTGATTTCCGTCATCTGCAACCCATATGCACCGCTCACGGTGCAAGGGATCACCCAATACTTGGCCCAATACCCGTTGGAGATGAGCAGGATTCCAGGCCATGATGAGGAATAACTGCAGATGCGTCTCAGGATGATGGTGAAATTCGGGGTGTAGTATCTATGATCATGTAGGAAGAGTGCAATATATAGATCTTTGAGAAAGCTTGGGTTGGGGTTTTAAATTTCACTGAGTCCTTATTGCATGCCTGAGCAATGAAATCCGGGCTCAGTTGGCCACTTTCTCGACTCATTCCTGGCTGTTAATTCCTGGGAGCTCGAGTCGCATTTTTAGGGTTACACATGAAGCATACGCGATGCGTGGAGAAATGATATGCGGACCAACATGGTGCATCAGGGTTCCTCCTAACGCGAGGCCGCCGCCTTGATTTTGCTTCCTTGTGCTACGTCTTGTATCTAGAGCCGAATATAGTTACTTTTGGATTTCATTAACCATCAGGAAGAAGTTGTCCCGCGCTATGTATACTTGAGGCACTCAAATCTGGACCTTAAAATTCCCCGAACGCGAGGAAGCAAAACGAAGGTAGCTTCCTCGCGCTACGTCTTGTATCTAGAGTCGACTATAGCTTTATTTAATATTGATTACTGATCTGAATACGCTGTCCTCATCTACGGATACGTGAGACCATCACAAACACCCAAATGCTTCCTAGGAGTACGTCAATGGCCTCCGGGAGACTAAATCAAATGGGTACGACTTTCGCTGCTAGAGCCTTGAGTTTTAAAGCAAATCATAACCTAACACGCACTTCGAACGGTCTAAAGGCAATTCGTAATCTTGCGGACTACGTTGCCTACAGCGGCAGCCAGCGGTTCCCCCAATGCATGGTCGTAATGTACAGCCACGTTTGCAATTGATGTAAGCAACAGTGATCTGGAATACGACATTCCTTCTCGCAGGCCACTGATCGACCGTTTACCGGCGCAGACTGCGTGCGAATGCATTCCTCGACGTAATGACTGTTTCAAGGAAGGCGTTGCATGCCAGCAGCCACGCAGCCATGTAGGTAAGGAGCCTACGGCGATGGCATATAAAGCTGGCGAGGGAACGCCGCAGAGATTGTCCAACACCACCAACAATCCAAAGCATTTTCTGCCTTTGACGACCACAACACGACCACATCAACGACTAGCATGCCTTGGAACCCATTTTCTGTCTGCGGGATCCCTCACAGTGGTCCTGGCTCCTGTTGCGGCATGACGAAAAAAGGCGAGCCATGCAAGAACTCGATCAAAGTTGAAGACACCAAGATCGGCCATCAAAAGTTGACCACTCTCGCCAGAGAGCCGTTTGACTTGTCAACGTTGCAGTCGAAGCTCTGTGATGTCGCCAGAGACTTCCTCTGCGCGAGATGGCACCGGCAACGGCAGGCCGAACAAGTTGGCCAGCAGTGGTATGAAGCAGCCGTCCGCAACCAGGTGCAAGTGCCACGTGGCTCCCGAATGGCCTCTCCATCAGTTATTGTACATCCGGGCCAGCGTCAGACATCGTCAGCCTCCAGGCGACGCGGTGCATCAGACAGCACTGACCGGTCACCTCACGGGCTCAGACAAGACCCGCCGGTGCACCTGTTAACCAACCCCGAGCCAGTGCAGCCATTCAGTCCATTTGTGACTGCCACAATGTTGCGGACGAATAGTGTTCCATGGCGCGTTTCGCCGGACCGACCAGCCATCTTGTCATCGGCAACTAATATCTGGGCGGGTGTCCAAGACTTGACGCTCCAGAGTCTCACCCGGAGCGAAGAGGTCGACATAGAGGTCGACAGCATCCACTGTGTGTTCTGCCTCACCGAGGATGAAGACCATGCGAACGAGTGCGTGATCTTGCATTGCCGTCAGTGCACATCGCTCTCTCATCTATCCTGCGCGGAAGAATGGTTGGAAAGGCGAGATACAGGGTCTGGCACGTCATGCTGTGTGTGGTAAGTGTGGATGATCTTATTTCTGAGACGATCAAGATACTGATGACCGCAGTCGAAACGAAGGAGCCCTAGACGCCTTGATTCGCTCTTTACCAATACCCTCGTCGGATGTCGAGACACATTCCGTCCTCACAGCAAGTGAATCGTCTCCCGATGGAGAACCTGCCACCGTCGGGATCTTATCACCAAACAATCCTCATCAGAGTCAGCCGCGTCAGCGGTCAATGGGATCCCCAGGGAGTGACCCCCGTCGCTCAGCCAGACTCGCGGGGCCTCATCTACCGCGAGACCAGTCCACCTCTGCACCGCTTCGTCGGTCGGCACCACTCTCCACTCAGCGTGGGTGATCGTAGGGTGCAGGCAAGGTAAGAAGGAAAATAGGAAAGCGACCGCCAATCACACGTGGGTACACGTGACCAGACACTCGGCATTGTGATCAGCAACTGTGGCCATAGCATTGATTTAGATTTTTGAATTCAAGCTTAGCAAGAAATGAGATCCCGATTGTTTAGAGTTCAGATTACAAGGCGACCGTTCATCTTTGTAAATGCTGGACCACTAGACCTTAGCCAAAAGCTACTGGGTGCTTCCTTATTTCGAATGACATAGCGCTAAATGTGCTGGTAGATGAAGTCTCATCTTACCCAACAGTGGTGGCCAAGAGACACGGATTCACCTCTGGAGCTGTGTCGCATAAGGCGGAAATTATTGGGCAGGAAACGCAACTTGCGGGCTGGAGAGACTGACAAACCTCTGTGCTGGTTAGCTTGACTCTGGGAATCAAAGTGTTGCCTCTGGGAACCTCGAAGCATTTCTAGGAGCTTTTGATCCCCTAGGAGATACACTTGAGCTCCTGGGGATATTATTAGTTCCAGGAAAACGAGATCTACCCCTGGGATCCTCACTCGACGTTCCCTGAGTGGATACGAAACTCGCTCTGGGAATACATTGGCTTGATCTGGGAGCTTATATTAGGGCCCTAGAGTCAATACCTTGCCTTCTGAGATCGGAGAAATCCCTCACACGCCACCTTCACCAGACGTGCGCACAAATCTGCGCCATTCGATCACTCCTAGAAGGCCGAGCTATGGCCCCAGGAACCGCATTTACGCCTCCAGGAATCAACAAATCGTCAACAGGAACGCGGCTTTGATTCCCCGAGGTTGGGGGTACTAGACCCCAGAAGCTATGTCGGGTTTCCTTGGGGCTACGTGGCTTCTAGAAGCTGCTTCTTAGCTCCCAGAAACCACTTCAAAGCCCACCCCCGGAGCAAAAGAACTCCCAGGGCCAAGACATGAGTTCCTAGCACTGATAGAAACGTCAATAGCAACGTGACTGGTTTCATTATAGTGACAGTGAATAGTCTTACAAGCTACGAAGGAATGCCGTGCTATCGATTCTAGCTTCACGCCACGGCCTAGTGCTTTTTGAGTTTCACATAGCGGTGGCTCCGAATGGTGTTGGTTCTGAATGCTCAACGTTTAGTATCCACCATGCAACACAAATACATCCCTTGGGATGGTGCTGGTGATCAATCTCGTGGTGTTGGTGGTTGGTGAATGTGCCTCATTAGTGGCTTACTGGTGATGTAGAGTCGGGGAGATATATATTCAATCACAACGCATTTTCCACATTCGTTTGAGAGCTCAGAAACCCCAAAAGAAAATAGAGTAAAATATAGAGGACTGAAAAAGAATCACCGGCCATGCCAGTTCTGATATCACCAAAATATGATGCCCGACATCTGTTGCTGATGCACAAATTCTCAACCGAAACTTACAAAAGCATCTGCGGCGACCAATCTGACATGGAGGGTTGGCAGATCCTCATCCCCAAGCTTGCTTTCGAACATGAATTTCTCTTACATGGCATCTTTTCCATCGCCGCGCTTCACATGGCAGCCACCGCCACGGACCGAGAACAAGTTCTAACTTACCTAGACACCGCACTACAGTGCAATAATCTTGCCTTTGCCCCATTTAGAGAAGCATTGGCTCACCTGACCCCCGTCAACTGCGACGCCGCCTTTGCCCAGTCAGCGGTTGTCACTATCATTGGCATAGCACTCCCTCGGCTGAATGCTCAGCATCGCGGTGAATCCTGCAGCATGATCGAAACTATGATGGCAGTTTTTGAGCTGCTGCAGGGAGCAAGTAAGATCTCACAAATTAGCAAACCATGGCGGAAGCCAAGCATATTCTTCAAATACGACTGGAGAGAGAATACGGTGCTGGATCCAGACATGGCCAATGCTATCGCACAATTGCGAATGCTGAATAGCCTAAACGAGAATACAGACCCGGCACAACATCGCATCAACCAGGAAGCTATCGACTCCCTCCAAGACTCCTTCGCTAAATTCACCCATGCGCCGCATCCCGCACCTATCATAGCTTGGCTCACCTACGCCAACAGGGAATTTGTGGATGGGTTGCGCACACGGCAGCCATTCCAGTTGTTCATCCTCATGAATTGGGCAGTTTTATTAAATGAATTAGGGGCCCGCTTTTGGTGGGCTAAGGACTGCGGGAAGGCACTAGTCGCTGAGTTATTGAGTGAGCTGAAGGACCAGAATGAGAAGTGGGAATCGGCATTGCAGTGGCCGCAGCAAATGGTAGGAATATAATATATAGTGAATCAAACTGGCATCTTCAACTAGGCTAAGTCTTGGAGTCCAAAGATCCCCGGGTCCCTTCGACGTACCCCAACAGCTACTATGCCTGCAATCTCTTCACAATCAGTTCGTGAAGCAACATCAAAGTCTTGGCTCCCCACGATATGCAACGCGCTGGTCTCAATACCAAGTTCTGACCTGACCAGGGTGTTGTAGGTTAATGAAAGTGGAGTGTTACCCATGGATATTCGAACGATAACCGATAAACGACATACGACATTCGATATACGAAACTGTACCTGGTACAGAGTTCAACCTCGGAAGACTATTCATTATTTTCACATTCTGTACATTTATTCTACACTGTCTCTCACTTGATATTATCCCAATCTTCTGAACAATCTTGAGAGTCTTCATGCAAATGGACCCGATCACTTCTGACGCAGAATTAAGCCCGAGCTCCCCATCTCGCCTAGAACCAAGCCTCACGTTAGATCGATCGTTTTTGCAAACATGCACCATTCTCAGTGCCTTATGTGCAGGAGTATTTGTGCCCGCCTTTGATGTCACTATTATTACAACAGCCTTGCCGTCGATCGCTGCACATTTTTTTGGGTCTAATTCTGCCGACACATGGATCGGCAGTTCCTACGTTTTGGCTAACACGGCCACCATACCCGCCTGGGGTAAAATTTCGGATATCTGGGGCCGAGAGCCGCTGCTACTAGTTGCCTACCTGATGCAAGGCCCAAACTTCAATGAACGCATACCACTGTCTGTCTCTCGGCATTCGAACACCCTCGTAGGATAGCCTTCTCAGGGCTTGCATTCCGAGTCTAACGGCTGAAAATCGTTGTCCTTGGATGGCATCTGGTGTCTTTTGAGCTTGGAACTCTGAAAGATGCTGAGAAGTTCTGGTGTTTCTGTCTGCTTCATGGCGGACGAGCAGTACGTTAGACGGCCAGGTTGTTGGTCCAAGTCTGCGTGCAAGGAGAAGCCGAGGCGAAAGTCCCGTCATTTCTAGCCGAATAAGTCAACATGACCATCTCAGCTTCGAATCGAGTGGACAAGACCGAGGACTGCCAAACGAAAGAGAGGACCCATGACCTAAGAACCACCGTCTGATATAGTTCCCCTTGATCCCTCTCCGCTTTCCGCGTTGCTGAGCTTGTCGACATATTCGAACGAGCGGGAATGAACCATTCGGACATACACGGGGCTGCATGCTATCAGGTGTGTTTGTCTTCTCCTTGTTGGATCCATGGTTGGTTGATTTGATTCCTAAACCTGCGTTTTTCTATCCAAGCCCGAGCACTATTTGCAAAGCCCATCTGCTTTGAATGTCACTGCAGCTGCAGCTATCGTGTATCTTTTGTCCGTTGGGACCGTTATCTACATATCGCAATTGGCGGCGCAAGCAAGTCTTGCCAGTAAATCGCCGACTTCTCTACCTCCCGAGCTCACTGTGCTGTGAGCATCGATGATGTTTCCTCAAACTCATCGCGTCCGGACGATACCTGGCGTATCACCGTTCGAACAACTTACCGTGAAGGTGGGTTTGATGTCTGTAACAGCACCACAAGAGCCATCGAGTTGTAGGACCTCTTGAATTCTTATAGCCTATACTGAATTTTCTACCCCTAATAAGCGCTCACGTCATTTTTGCTTGGGGAGGAGTTTAAGCGGATGCCTGCTACGACCGCGCGTGGATCAGAGCACCCCCGTGCAGATATCACCCGGTCCTGAGCGGTGATCGCGGAGAGTGTCTTTACCAGTTCTGGTTCCAGATGGCTAGTTGGACCCCGATTGGACTTCAACCGCGCTATATCAGCAGCGGGGCATGCTGTATTGCATGACTCGGAATACGTCCACAAACAGTAATGCCCGTCGCTTTAATCGCCGGAGTGGACTTCTTCGTATCCATGTGGAGAAACGGCTCTGACTACACAAGAAACAGAGTCTGTCGCATCATGGTTTTTATTTGAGCTCACGATTCGTATGTTCGAGCGAGACCTCATCACATGGCTCTTCACCTCGTAGTTCTGATCTTGAGCCTACAGTATATTGCGTGAACATAGTGAGAATTGGATCACCTTAATCGATTTGGAGGCTGTACGTCAACTTCACCGAGTGACCATAAAGGATCAAAAATGCCTTGTGGAATCGAAACAATGCCATTGATGCAAGAAACCACGCTGCCTCTACGTTGACCACCGCTCCCTTCACCGCCCGACCATTCACCACATCAACACCAACACTCACCAACACTCACCAACATCACAACAAACATTCCATCAAAACAAGCATCCCAGCACAACACTCTCGTCCCTGTCTGCTCTACGCCAGAATGAGAGTGCAAATTCCATTACGGACCGCAAAATATCAATGCAGATCAGTTGGGAATACGTCCTTTGGTAACCAGGACACTTCAGTTGTGATTTATAATTTTACCCATTAAATTTGGAATGATCTATCTAGGGCTCATTCTATCTATCCAATGATGATCCTTCGGAATATGAAACTGATTAGGAAGATGCTGTGCAGGTCTGGCGTCTTCGAATACTTTTGGAATACTCGAATACTAGTCCCCAGCACCACGGAGAGGTGCCTGCACATTGCTGGGGAGCCATAACAAGACCTTGGCGAGCCAAGTCTTGCATGACTGAGCACATTTTTACATACACAGGGCTCATTGGCTGTGAGGGAGCGCAAGTCTTACATCGCTGGGCTCGTGGCAACGACAGCCGTGGTCACGGAAGCTCTGAAGTCCTTGGTTGCGCAGCACCTCCCTGCGCGGATTGTTGGTGACGCAGACATATCCTGCGAAGCACCTTTTTACGCTCGCGGGGCTCGTGGCAGCGACAGTTGTGGTCACGAAAGCTCTCAAGTCCGCAGGCTAAAGAGGGACACTATGATGCATCAAAGTGTGAGTACCGAGGTCCTGATTTTTTTTTTGGACTGGGAATCCGGCTCCTTTTATATTTTTTCGGCTACGTTTCTACCAAGGAACCAGTTGCGCACCTGCTAGCGAGAACTATCGTTGCGTTGATAGCCATTGAAGTGATTTAAACGACGTCGAAATGGTGTTTTGGAGTCTGTGGCCGACAGATACAAGCCTCGGGTGTACTCGCGGAATCATTTTTCTCGAAATCGTGCGTTCAGTGTAGTGGACCACTTTCATCAATTGTTGAGAAGAAAGTAATGTCGCAAAAATATGATTCCTACATATCATTGAATTTGCAATTAAATCGCTCGAGGTGCTAGCACTTTACATCTGCCCGTTTTACCCACGGTGACCGTCTCTTTCGTGAGGGTTGAAGTGCTTCAACAGATGCAGAAATATTGCTTTGGAGACTTTGTGGCCGACAGAAACGTTCAATTGCACCTGCGGTTGGCCGGATGACCCTTTGGTCTCGCAAGGATCAATTCTTTCCATCCCCAGCCCTGCACTGCTGAATGTGGATGCAACTAGTCTTTTCTGTAATGGGTACAAGTGGGGCGGGGTGAAGTATTTGGAATAAGACGCATACTTACGCATCAACTCGGGATACCCATTGTATTACGCCAAGACTAGTATAGATATAGACCCTCTCAACGGTGGTCTGTTAGTTAAATTTTTCACTCGTCTCATAGCTGGTTCTCTCAGTACTGGCGCGTATGGATATCCTGCGATTCGACAGTATACTTTATATGAAGAAACACGATTTATAAAGGATTGAGCTCCAAAAGGCTACAGCGTTGGAATATACGAAGTATTAAATAAATGCCGGCGGAAACTTTTTCAATCACTTCCGCTTTGTGCTCTCTGTTGTGGAAGATACATTGACTATCGCTACCGACCGAGAAGGGTCTCTCACATCAGTGCCACGCAGATCCCTCCAAGGCCTGATTGAATCCATCAACGTCCACGGACTCTTCATTTGTTTCAATTATAGACTGGGCTTTTGTTGGGGGATGTTCCAGTCGATGGGGTAGTATTACTTGCGAAGGGTCTGTCAGATAGGACTGATAGTCCAGGCCACTAAGAAAATAATGCTCCATACACACAGAGCCAGGAGTAGAGAGGTAGCTGGTCTGAGACTCATTGCCGTACTCGAAACCTGAAGGGAAGACAGACGTGGAAGTTGGAACAGACCGAGGACTGGCGAAGGACGTCTGGTGAGGATACCGTGTTGTTTCGCTATCAGGCGCCCCAGAATTGAGTAGCGCAATGTGTGTAACCTCTCGGATTGGCCCGCTGAGCAGGAGAGGGTCTTGAGGTATCCGCTGTTCTTCAGATTTCTGGCTGTGTGGGGAACGTCTTGCGCAAGTGGAATTTTGGAAGATCGTAAGTTCCAAGTCGTTTGGCACGTTGTCCCCCGAAATCGAAACTCTTGCATTCACATCTGTAAATAATCAGAATAAGCTCCACGGGTATGGAGACATACATACTGAAATTACCATCGAGAAGTTTCTCTTCCTTCTCTCGCACGTAGTATAGTTCATCAAGTAGATTTATTCGATCGGTTGGACATATCTGTCGTCGGATGGTCTCATCTGCTGCTCTCAATCTGCGCGCAGTGACTCCGTGGCTGGCACGTAAATCACAAAGAATATGAACGAGAAGCTCGATTCGTTCTAGATCGATAGTCAAGGTATGTCGGTATGCGCAGAGAAAAAGAAAGTACTCACCGACTTTGTACAGATGATCTGGCTCTCGATGTCTCACTTCAAGCGGCCACCATGGCGGCCTAGTCTCATCAGGGCTGCATTGGTATGTTATCCCTCCCAGATTCTTTCGCCCATTGTAGGGAAATTTGACCTGTTTCCGCGGCTCGACAAGCCTGACATACACTTTCGCAAGAATTCTGCAATTCGTCTGTTGCAGATTTTCAAAAACCTTTTCGTAGTACCGACGAAGAACACTTGCGTTCCCAATAGATATCATAACGTTCTTGGAATTTAGCACGGTCTCTGCTATTTGTGGTGTAACCTCATCCTGCGAAGATACACTGGTTCTCACAGATTGATGGACTAGCTCTTCAGGCCACTGGACTGGCAATCCATGAGGTGCTGGGCCCATTTGTCTAGCGATATGGGCCTGAGCCTCTGATAGCCCCGCGGGTTGAAGGTTATAGGTTCGTTTGGATTGGGCAGAGGTTCCGCGACTTAGCAGCCCGTGAGGCGGCGTTGCCTGTACATCTATTCCAAATTCTTCGGGTTAGTCTAACGAACAAGATGCAGTCAAGAATTTCACCAACATTGAATCTTATCGGAATTATCTTCGAACGCCGAGACCGCTTGTAGAAATCGGGTTGTGACTTCTGGTGACAGGATACGGTCACGATTTCTGGAGATGGAAGTCGAAGTTTCATGGCGGATATTTCCTGCCTGATCAATGTAAATAAATGCAAAATGAGGAAAGCCCCCTTCATCACGGTTTTGTAACGACGGGGATGCTATTAAAGGCTATATCAGCCCGTGTTCACAAGCAAATTCCCCCTTAAGACGAATGATAGTATGGTCTTCCTTAGGAATTCCCAGTCAAACCCTTTGGACGAGCGCTCACAACAGGGGTCTTACTGGCTGTCAGATTGAACAGGGAGGGAGCAGTAGAATCAACGATAGTCACATCTGCGGAATTTGTAGCCAGCGACATTTGGATGCTTAATTGGACAAGCACGGCGCTTAAGTGGCGGATTTTTTGTGTGAAAAGAAAAGCAGGAAATGAAGGGATTGATAGAGAGGGCCTTTATAATCCGGCCAGTCAATAATTGATCTTACAATTGTAGATATTATCGAACAATCAAAGTTAGCCAGGGAAGCCGACATCTGCAGACAAGCGGATATCCTAGCTGGAACCGTTATCTGACTCAGTGGTCACCCTAATTTTGACGTATGCGACTGTCAGGATTGCTCCCCACACACCCATGTTGAGGTTCATGCGCCGAACCATGGCCTTGGCAGACGCCCTGAGATTTGGACCTCTACCTTAGAACGACGAAATTCGCCAATTATGGAAATACCATCTGAGCCTCAATATGTCTCTGTGCACTGAGCAGGCAAATGAAGTATTTTCCGGCTTAGTCGGATGACAGCTTGGATTTATTTTATGGAAATGATTCGCCGAGGACTAAAGCAAGGCAATCCTTAGAGTAATCCAAACGTTTTCAAACCCGAGTGGACTCGGAATGCGGATCACTTTAGAACAAAAGTACTGGTCCCCCAACTAAAAATGCCGTGACATAATACCCTGTCAACGATCGGTGAACTGGTAAGGTTTCGTAAGTAGCAATGGATCATCATTAAACAGGTGTTTCTCCTTCAGTCTGCCCCTCCATCTGTTCGTGCATACTAAAACTCAGGGGTTTGCTTCTTAGTAAGCGCTTTTTCTGTGGATCCTCTCCGAAACGGGCTCTAGTGGTAATCTAGCGCTGACATTTGAAATCGCTATATTTGAAATGGAGAAACTACACCCACTTTCATTCGGCCATCATATCGCTTGGACTGCAGAGTCCTAATCGTGCATTTCTCCTTCTCCCTGTCAACCATTTGCTGCAGAGACGGCCCCCTGACTTCAAAGTTTCGGCCGAAAGTTCCGACTACTAACGACGCGCAGCGGGACATAAATAAACAGAGCATCTTTGGAACCAGAGCAAAAAATCTCATTGAGCAGGCTTCCCCTCCTTCTATTAAAATTCACCATCACATTTGCATTTTTCTACTACAGCTGCAGTTCCGCTTTGGGTTTGGATCTACAAGTCTCAGCTCGGCAAATGCATTACAATTGGTCTGGGCTCTGGATTTGGCTAAGCAGCAATTCGAGAAAAAAGAAAAAAAAGTACTTAGCCACAAACGTGGTGATCAATGGCCGGTCCTATTACAAAGGATGATATCAGCGTCTATGGGCAGATTGTTACACCCAATGACTTGAAAGCTAGTCACAGGAATTGAAAAGAAAAGCAAAAATTACTAGTAGGCGTAAAAGCGCGGTTCAGTCTACGGTATTGGCGGTGTTGGTGTCCTGGGTGGTGAATAGCCGGGCTTCGCTGCTTGAGTCAGTCAGTGAAGTAACCACCCGTTTTACAGGCCAAGCAGAGATGCATGCGGGGCCAATCCCCTCTTTCTTGCTTTCACCTACTTGAAAGTATGCCTATTCGGTGAATTTTACCCCAGAATCATTCTCATGCTGAGGCTTCATGGCTGATCACAGCCTTTATTATAGTAACATGCACCAGGACTAGTTTACCTAGGTAGTTGGCCACTGTTCCTTCGACATTGCATTGTAGTGCTCCTGCTGATGAAATGCTGCTAAAATGCACGCTCTGTTGGCCGGTATCTCAGCTTCCTGGCGGCACAGACACGATGCACATAGTCCCACCTCCATGATGACGACTGTGTTCTTTTAGGCCGGTACGGAAGCGGTGCTGACGTCATGCGGTCTGTGACAAAAAGGTCAGCATGTAATATGAGAAGATTAAGTGTTTCCTACCCGAAATGGGGTTCGTTTGGGTTGTTTTTTTGCTGTCGTCAGCCTGGTTAGGGTCTGCCGCTAGATTTGTTAGAAACCATGTGTCGATGTTCCTTTGGGCAGGGGTCTTGGCTGAAAGATTCGACTGTGAAGCGCTATCGACCATAGAGCGTTGCACGGCGGCTGCTCGCTTTGGTTTTCCTGGATTCTGGGATGATTTGGCACCAGTGCGACTATGCTTCCGCAGAATATGGTACTTTTTCCCTTGTAAAGACTCAACGCTTCGATGCACCGGATATTCTTCATAGTATGCGTCGGAGAGAGCTTTCCACGACAGCCCTCGATGGGCATCCAACCAAGGGAGAAGATTTCTCTCCTCTCATTCCGGCCAGCCGTATGCGCTACGTGGGGACATGGTGATGCTCGGGCAAGTTGCGGAATTGGCCAAGACGGGTGAACAAACAGCGGAAAGTGATTTGGAAGGTGTAATATTGTTGAGTTTAAAACGTTATAGTGTGGCGTGGCAGGTAAAAGCCGACTATTATGTGTTTATGAGCTTTGGCCCAGCCTGGTGAGCTGGTATCAGACTCTTATTGTGCTTAAACCTATAAATGTGGACAAACGCGGATTCATACTTGGAATTTCTTTACTTGTATCAGGCAAAATGCGAATGCAAAAAGCAGACGGGAATGCCCGAAAACTAAATATAAATTGGAATCGTTCCTCTAAATGGCGGGTTCTTCGTGTAGCCATCACGGTACAATGCTCCCTCACACAAAGTTTGAAAATGATTCAATACATGATAGGATATTGAGCAAATCACCAACCACCTCGCAAATGGACAAACTAGGCGTCTGACTAGTTTTACACTCGGATGGGTGGATGGATGATTTCATTTACCCTGACCACTCGCGAGTTAGTTTACCAAACTAGACCAAATACGAAACGTACCCAACTCTAGTGGGCTGTGACTTATAACCTAACTTTTATTGCGAGGAGTTAGGAATACAGTGGCATTCATGAGGCTTGGGATTGTAGTACGGTCACCCACCACATTACTCGGCGCCCTGCTTCGTAATATTTCTACGTGATTTCTGGTAAAATTATCCTGTGTGTGTGTTTATTGCCATTGACCTTCGTGACTGGGCGATTTGCAGGTTGCCAAACTCCCAGTGTTTTCCTACGATTTATGTAACCTATCTCTATCCTCTGAAGTTTTTGTTCATCACTTCCTTTCGCAGCTGTTCCCTTCCCCGGCATCGTCTAGGAATTATTCCCGGTCTGACGCCTTCACCTTCTCGATAGTTCGAGTCCATGCTCGTCGTTTCTGTTGCATCTCTTGGAAGAGGGTCATGCAGCGAGCGTCGTGTCGCCCGAGTTCATACACGAGTTGCTTACATGTAGGCATGAACCCTAAATTACCCAATTACACACAGTTTTACAAATCCAGTCTAGCGAAAGGACTTAGACCATGATGTTTCATTTGGCTAAATCGGAATGCACTGGACTTGGCGTTCATGTAGCTTTACGAGTTGTGTGTTATGGGTGCTTAGGTTCTATGGCGTGCAAGTCGTTTTAAGTTTCGTTTATTGCCTCTGCTAACACTTATTCAGAACGGACCCTCCTTCATGTTCAACACCAGATGTTTTGTGTCCTTTACCCATCTGTTTTATCCTTGGCCCAGTCAATCGACATCCTGATCGAGTTTCGTCAGAGTCCGAGTTTGACCCAGCACACAAGCCGTACACAAACGTTTATGATGCATGAAATGATACAACATCATTCAATGCTCCGTCTGGTTAAGATCACGTAAATGCTGTATTTAAGTTGTCTGTATGCTTGTGTCCGTGCGTACCTGACTCGAATGACCTTTGCTATTTGTTTATCCTATCCGCTGAAGGTGAACTGTTCTCTCCTAGTTTGCTGAACTGCTGTACAAATTTGCAACAGAGACAAAGGGGAGTGACCAATTCAGTCTAACACGTATGTGATAAGTTACCGATCCATGTTTCGACAACTGTTGTTGGAACGGATGTGACTAAAGGTCCAAAAATCTGGGTTGAGTTCGCATTTATTCAAACCGTTGATCTAGGATAATCAAACAGTAAAATGATAGTAGTTAACTGAATCACACCGATGCCTGTGTATTCTTACAAGACCCAGCCCTTTCATCTCCATAATGGACTTAAAACTCGGTTGGTTGATTGGTTTGACGTTATTTTTCTTAACATGGCTCGCCGTTCGCATGCTTGATGCAATCAACAGTCATCTACTTCCAAAGTTCTTCTTCTACTTCTACAACATGGGGGTGCTCTCTCCTATGTATCTCCTACCCATACTGGTATCCTGGTGGCTAAGACCTGGTTATTTGACAGGCACCTTGTTCGGATTTCTCTATGTCTCAAGCGGAGGGAGAAAAGGGGGATGTTAGAGCATGCAGTATGGTGGTCGAAGAAAGGCCTCTCTATACCTGAGACTAATTTTGACGGTGCGCGATTGGACGCTCTCGCAATAGCAGCACTCCAATGCACTAAGCTGTTATAATGTTCGTGACTGTGGTAGCGAACGGAGCCAGCAATGCGACGTGGAGGCCCTAATGGCCCAGAGTGTCATAGTTGGGGCTGCATAAATACCTATTGCCCCAGGAGGTTATACACGACTTGCTTACCGGTAAAAGGCAGATGAAGGCTTTCTTAGGAGCATCACCTACATTCTTTTCTTACATAATTCAGTCTTTATTTGCAACAAGCATCAGTTCTTCTAAGCCCTTCCATTCGATGTGATTATCTAAGGTTGGTATTAGTAATTTCTAACGAAATATTTCCTATGTTAACTCCAAATACCGCTGATTCAAAAATTTTCATCCCCAAAGGCAGGCGTAAAGTGAAGAATTCCGCCAAAGGACAATGTTACCAAGCCAACAATTAAGCTTGCCATCGACGTGCTGCCAACTAACGGTAAGACGATCACATTGAATAGACAGCCGACAATTCCCGCAGCACCCCAACTTACGAGAACCCGACCATAGCTGTGCGCGAAAAGCACAGGATGTGGGTTTTTTGCCTTGACTAACCCTGGAAGGAGACTAAACCCTACGCCGTGGGAAAAAGAATAGCCAACAGCGTCAACATTGCCTGCTTGGGCGTTGCAAGGTGCGCAAGAAGGATGAGCAGGAGACCACGTATGCAAAGCAAGGCCACAAAAGCGGTCCTTCCTCCCAGTTGAGCACTGAAAATGGGCGCCAAAATACCCCCAGATGCAAGAGAAAGCATACTATACGGCAGAAATTGCGAAGAAGCCCACTCTGCTTCTCTGGAATAGTAGGAGGCAAGTGGTAGCAGAGCAGCGAAGACTGTCATTCCGGGCAGCGCGTTGAAGAAGAGTAGAATGGAAAAGAACCGTTCCGAGTCCCTGAACGGAGCTTTCCCAAAGGTCGGGGATTGGATCTTTCGAATATGCTCGGGCATCAATAGCTCGGTAGCTACTCCAACAGCCAAGAATGTCGCTCCGGCAATCATGAGGACGTGCCCTAGCTCTGCTGAATCGAGGGTACCAAATTTGAAAATCGACGACAGAGAAATACAGGCTGCTGTGCCCGAGGAAAATCCCATTGGGCCAATAGCACTCCGAGCCAGTGCGAGGTTGGGAAACCCTTGACTGACCATGACGACAACACCAAGATAGGTCCATCCAACGCCCACGCCCCCTGTGAAAAAAGATAGGATCATAAGCTCCAGGTTCAGACGTCCAAGGAAGAAACCGGCGCAAACCACAGCATAGCCCCAAAGCGCGGTGCCTCTTGCGGCGGTGAGAACAGCTCCGCGCTGCGCTATTGTCCAGGAACACGTCGATAACCCGATGGAGAGGCCCAAGCTTGATACGCCGAATGGTGCAGACCCCCATGAATTTGATGTTTTGAAGAGTCGGGGTAGCTCTGCTTGAAGCATGCTCAAAGCATATATGGTACCGACACAAAACATGTTTGCGAAACTCGCTACGGCAATGGACAAAGGTGCCATTTTCGCAGTTGAAAGGTAGATAGGGTTTGGTGTTGGAAGTCTAATGCCTCGTGGTTTTATAAGGACATCGTTTTGCAATGCCTTAAGCCGTATAAGTAAGAGAAGTGAAAATCGGAAATTGGCAGACAGCGCGGGTTGCGAATTGGCTTTCCCGAAATCAACGCTCTTTTCACCCTAAGTTGATGGGACTAATTGCATCGGGCCGAGTAGTGGGGCACTACTACTGCAATATTTAGGCGGAATTACCGCCAACGTAGTCGGAAACGGGCATTCCACTTGGTTGTGTGCTAGGAGAAGAGTTAAGCAAAAAAATTCGTAAGAATATGAACCATAATTCCCCCACTTGCTCTACTTTTCGTTAGCTGTCCACTCTCATGTAAGGACGTCTAATTTTAGGAACGCCAGACATCTTGAGGTTGAAGGTCGCACTAAATGCGAAAAATAAGACAAAAAACCTACTCATACGAGAACAATGCGCCAATGGGAATTTACATAGCATTTAAATCCCAGGTTATAGGATCGTAAACCATGGAGCAATCAAAATTCTAATATTAGCATACAAGGGGCGCAGACAGAAGCGAAACAGTTCCTGGTAACAGGGAAAATGCATTAGGATTATCAAAACTGGCAAGTAGAGATTGTTTTGCTTCTATCATTCTTTAGTTTCTTTGCCTTCCATGAAGACGACGGGGTCCTTTCGAGACCTGTTAACTTGCAGTTGGAACACATCCAGCCTCTGATATCCTCCAACAACGTCATGATATTGCTTTCCTTCAATACAGCGATCGAGATCCATTTCAGCATAGAGAACACCCTCCTCCGCCTGCAAAAATTCGCAAGCTATTTTTGCCTTGGTTTGCATGTGGAGAGTGAATGAGGGAAGAGGCGCTCCTGTCGGATCCAAAAACATAGTTACACCTTGTGGGGAACTTTCTAATGCATTTTGGATGATAACTGGTAATCTGGAGCTGGCGACAATATTCTCGATGGCTTCTTTGTTGAGGAAGCCGCTACACATGACGCCGAAGGTCTTTGCTTCAAAACAATGGGCAGCAGCGCGAAGCCGGTTGGCGAGGACGTTGTCGTAGTTCGCTGGGGCCCGGCACTGCTCAGCAGATTCACCAGGTGCGGCTGGAAGGCGAGTGGGCCAGATAGGCGGCCAGGAAGAAATATGAATCTGCTCTCTTTGTGCCATCAGCGAATAGCGAGCTAGTGGGTTGGTGTTTTCGCCACAAATGAGAGCGCCGATCCGGCCACAAGGTGTGTCAGCCACTCGCAAGCCGTGGCCATCCCCAGGGCTCCAGATGAGTTTCTCGAAGAACGTCGGCATCAGCTTCCTGTGATGCACAGCAACCTCACCCGCGTCATCGATGATCAGGTTTGAGTTATACAGGCAGGCTGTACTGGAGCGAGATTTCTCGGAGATACCAATACTGATAACGGTTTCTGTCTCTCGTGCAACATTCCGGATGGCCTGTACTTCTTCACCATCTGCGTAAATGGACTCCTGGACCATACGGTGGAATAGGTCATGGTTCTCGGTTGGCGGACGTAGAGCACTCCATACGGGGAAAGCCGAGATATATGTCTCAGGGAAGACCACTAGATTGGCCGAATTCTTGGCTGCCTGGCTAACAAGGGAAACAGCTTTGTCGACGCTTTTTCGGGCAGATAAAAAGTGAGGGGCAACATGACAGGCGGCAACAAGTGTAGGAGGCATTGTTGATGAAGAAATGAGAGCAGACTAGGAGTTTGATGTTTCTTCAATCGTATCAAGTGGAGCATGAACATTGAGTTATATTGGCATTAGAAACACTAGTAGATTGAGAGGTTCAGACTGGCGGGAATGCCGCCCACCTAAGCTCTGGGGGGTTTTGCGCTGAGATATCGGAACCGCAGTAGCCGCAGCGCCCGACGTCAACTCTGGTTCGCGCCTTTGGTAATTTTGGCATGGTTTCAGACAAGAGAAAGTAATTGATTGTCCGTGCGTTGAGGTATTGAGGAATGTAATAAGCAAAATTTAGGATTGTTCGATACCGGGACTCTAATCTGACCCAATTTATCATTTCCCAGACGGAGGGATACGGTCGACTAGGGTGCCGTGCCTTAGTAGACCCTCTTGATCTTACCAACCTAGTCCACTGCCGATCAACTCCTCTGCAGTCGGGCTTCCCAGATTCCTGAAAACCTGGGAATCTCCTCAGGGTTCGTCCGTGGGTGTTTACTGAGATGGAAAGCGATGATTGGGAAACGTAATTGATGAACCTCATCTGTCAGAGAGACACGGAGAGAGAAGGAGACTATGGATACAATAACGGAAATGAGAGCTCGGCAGGTCATCTGGGTTCCACGTGAGTGAGAATCTCTCGCTGGTCCATGATACAGCCTTTCACATAGGGCCACACGGCAGCCCCCGAAAAACGCCCACTGCCCCGACCGAAAAGACAAGATTCCTTAGATTCACATGATTTGTTGCTTGTGTTCTGCAGATGATTTGACCACGTCGTCCTCAGGATAAATAGACCGAGCATCTATAGGTGCGTCTTTGTCGAAGACCAACGACATTTGCTCCAATGATAAACCGCGAGTCTCGGGGTAAAAAAAGAAAACAATGATCCCGTAGCAAATCAGTAAAACAACATATACAATATAATATTTCCATCCAATTGCCTCCAGGGCAATTGGGTTGACGAATGTATTGAAAATCACAGCAATGATGCAAGACATCCACGTAACCGTCAAGCCACGAGAGCGCAGTCGGAATGGCCATATCTCGCAAGGGTAAGAAGTCAACAGAGGTGTCCTGTTATGCTGAGTTAGCTTCCAACTATCAAAGATGAAGAAGATAGCTCACAAAGCGATATCGTATCCTGCAAAATAAATGAAGACAAACGGCACAAACGCGATCCCGGTGGGGTAGTCCCCGTTGATCACGAAGGAGCCATAGAGCCCCGTCATGATTCCATAGGAAATCAGCATAATAAAAGCCGACAGTAAGAAGAGCGAGCGACGACCCATTCGTTCCACGGAGAGTGCACCGCCAACTGCGAAAAGGAGGTTCCAAATCTGAAGACATGCTGAAATGAGAAGCTGATCTTTGGTTGACGTGACACCAACCGACTTCAGCACAATGGCGAGATAATAGGAGAGTAATCCATTGCCCACCCACTGATCAAAGAAACCAAGAGTGACGGAGATGAGGAGACGGTGTCGATTTCCAGGGCTGCGGACCATCTCGGCGTACCCTGAAGACCGCTCAGCTTCAATTTCGGCCTGGATACTTGACTGAATCAAATGGAGCTCTTGCTCTACCCACGGTGCGTTGGGGTCATTATCGGTGCGGATCTTGACCAAAGTCTGCCGAGCTGTTTCCACTTGCCCGACCGACACCATCCATCGAGGGCTTTCTGAAATGAACCAGGATCCAGGAAGCGCCAACAAGGGCATCAGTAGCTGACATAATGAAGGTATCCTCCAGGCCCAGTCCGAGTTTAGAGTGCGGGTTCCGAATGTCACCCACGCGGCAACTATGCTTCCGATATAGTAGCTGGTCATAAACAAGGCAGTGGCCACACCTTGGTGTGTAGGATAAGCCACTTCAGCGATCAGTGCTGGTCCTGCATTGTTCATAAAGCCCATGCTAGCTCCGGCAAGAAGTCTTCCGACCATGAACAGAGCCCTCGAAGGAGCTGCTGTCTGGAGAACTGTACCGATAACCAGGCAGAGATATCCCAGCCAAATCACTTTCTTGCGGCCATATCGGTTCGAACACCAGCCAGCAGCGGTAGCAGTAACAGCAGCACCAATCCAATATAGTGTGTTTATGAAGCCAAGCCATTTGCCTCCCGGTTGTTCCATAAAAGACAACCATATTGGGAGAGACTGAAGGCCATTGAGCAGCGAGCTATCAAAGCCATTGGCGGACGCTATTTTGTCCGTATTAGCAGACTTCAACAGGAAAGTGAACGGGTTGGGTGAGACTAACACAAGAATGTCAAGGAGATGATGCAGAAATTCAAGTGAATCAAATAAGGACTTGACCACCAGCCCCGGACAGGTGCGAGGGAGGTCAGCGTGTCTCCGACGGCAGGCATGGTGAGAAATTGAGGTTTCAAATTGACTAATACAAGAGATCGGTGAGTTCTGTGATAAAGTCGATGACGCCCAACAGAGTAGCGCAAACGGTCCAAGATATAGTCAGCTACTTTGGACTTCTGTATCAGGGTACCCGGGGTCCGGGGTCAACCACGCGGGGTCAACCACGCGGGGACAAATTGAATTTCTTATCTTGAGGCTTGTCTCTAGTCCCGCCCGGTGATAGATCAGTACCCGACAATAGGAAATGTCGAATTCATCCTTGGGCTTAAGTGGCGAGAGGGGCGGAATAGGCGGAAGGTGCCGAAAAGGCGGAAGAGACGAAGAAGATGGAGACATGGAGACGTGGAGACGGCGAGGCGCTAGGATGTGACTTTGGCTTAAGAAGGCGGCAATACCGCCGATGCCGCCGATGCCAAGGCGGATCTCAAAGGGCGGGACGGGCACCTTTCGATGATACCCTTGAAGTGCGAGATGGGGATAAGCACAATTGCAAGGATGATGGTATTAAATAAATGATAGATGTCCCTTTTGGCGAACTGCATTCAAAAATCCTGACTTCTTTGTCTTCACTCCCCCACTATTCTCAAATGATGGAATTTCCCACCAAGATCGAAGGCATCCTGGCCCAGCTCTCTCTTACCGAGAAATGCAGTTTACTCTCCGGGAAAAATATGTGGGAAACTTTAGATCTGCCTCGACTGGGCATCCGCTCCCTTAAGACCACCGACGGGCCGGCCGGAGTCCGAGGTGCGAAATGGACGGATGGATCGTACACGACTTTTGTTCCTTGCGGAATTTCGCTGGGCGCAACATTTGACCCCCAGGTTGTTGAACGCATCGGCACTGTTTTGGGAGCCGAAACTAGAGGCAAAAAGGCTCATATTCTCCTCGCGCCCACAATGAATCTCAGCCGATCTCCGTTAGGAGGGCGGAACTTCGAGAACTTTGGAGAAGACCCATTTCTTACCGGCATCATGGCTACGCACTACATTAAAGGAATCCAGAGCCAGGGAGTCGGCGCTTGTATGAAACATTTTGTCGCGAACGACCAGGAGACCCGGCGATTCAATATGGACGAGCAAATTGACGAGCGAACCCTGCGTGAAGTGTACCTCAGGCCTTTTCAAATGGCTCTGAAGGCAGATCCCTGGGCAGCAATGACGGCCTATCCTAAGATCAATGGTGAGCATGCAGACACCAGTCGACACTTGGTGTATGAGATACTGCGCAAGGAGTGGGGATTTGAGAACCTGGTGATGAGCGATTGGGGTGGCCTCAACTCGACGATTGGAAGCATCAAGGCGACAACCGATCTCGAGATGCCCGGACCACCGCTGCGCTATGGCCTTGCACTGGAAGCTGCTGTGCGTGCGAATGAAGTTTCAGAGAAGGAGGATATCGACCCTTCCTTGCGAAGGCTATTAGCAACACTTGACCGCGCCGGTCTTGTTTCCCCTGATAAGACCACGGAAGATGCTTTGGTGTATCATGACACTGATGTTAGGACAGGTGAAGAAGTCCTTGACAGACCGGAATTCAGAGCCATTGCGCGTGAAGCAGCAGTATCAGGAATTGTGCTTCTGAAAAATGAGAACAGCATTCTTCCCCTGCAGCCAACAAAAATCAACAAGATCGCCATCATTGGACCAAATGCAAAGGCACCAACGCCAGGCGGTACAGGCAGTGCGGTCGTGAACCCATACTACATTACCACGCCCTTTGAATCTATCACTAAGGCCATCACAACCCTGAATTCTGAGATTGACATACAATACGAACAAGGGATTCGTACCCACCTGCACTTGCCTCTGCTTGGGAACATAATCACCACCCCAGATGGGAAGACGCCCGGTGTCCAGGTTAACTTCTACCGTGGCCACGATTTCGAGGGCGACATTGTCGCGACAACTTACTGGCAAAATTCCATGGTGTATCTGATGAGCGATGGTGACATCCCTTCCAATCTTCGCGGAAAGCCATACTGCTTCCGCGCGCTGGGACTTTTCACTCCCACCGTTAGCGGGCAGTATGATTTCAGCCTTTCCAACACCGGGAAGGCCACATTCTTCGTGAATAATGAGTTATTTATCGACAACCGGGAATGGACAAACATTTGCGCCAATTTCATGAATTGCAGCAGTCCAGACAAGCTTAACTCGATGCACCTCGAAGCTGGCATCACGTATGGTTTCCGCATCGACAATGTGGCGGTACCACCACCAACCCGTCCTCATGATAACACTTTGTTCCATCGGATTGCCGGAGTCAAAGTTGGAATGCTAATCCAGACTGATGAAGAACTCATGATGAAATCAGCGATTGATAAGGCCCAGGAGGCAGATCTGACGATTGTTATTGCGGGTCATAACAATGACACGGAACGCGAAGGTTGTGATCGGACGTCTCTTACTCTCCCACGGCGGACTGACGAGCTCATCGAAAATATTTGCCAGAAGAACCCAAACACCGTCGTTGTGACACAATCCGCATGCGCGATTACAATGCCATGGGCAGAAAAGGCTCGCGCAATCGTCCACGCTTGGTACCAGGGACAGGAAAATGGAAACGCCTTGGCGGATGTCCTACTAGGCCGTTTCAACCCCTCTGCAAAGCTGCCCATCACCTTCCCGCATCAGCTCAAAGACCACGGGTCTTATTCCTGGTTTCCGGGAGATGTGGTGAAAGATCGTGCCGAATACGGAGAGGGTGTCCTCGTTGGCTACCGCTGGTTTGACAACCAGAAGATCGAACCACTTTGGCCGTTTGGCTACGGGCTCTCATATACCTCTTTTGAGATCACAGACGTGCAGGTAGAGGGCACTATTGCAGTAGATGGCTCGCGAAATGCAATACTCAGTGCTTCTGTCACAAATACTGGGCGATATGCGGGCAGCGAAGTCGTTCAGGTCTACATGTCTTCATCGCCGCTCATCAAGGGTGAACAAAGAGTCTCGAGGTCGCTGGAAGGATTTGAAAAGGTATTTTTGGTCCCCGGAGAGGCGAAGACAGTTCGCCTTTCTCTCAGTAGCCACGCAGTCAGCTGGTACGAAGTTGAGGGCCGCGAAGGCGGCAGTCCAGCCGGAAAATGGCGCACAGATCCAGGTGTCTACCAGTGCTTTGTCGGCTCCAGTTCACGTGATATTGTCGCAGAACTTAAAATTGTGGTGGACTAGATCTTATCACTGGCACAAATGACCCCTTTTGTTACTGTCTCTCTTTACCTGAATTTATCTATCATCTGGCGCTTGGCGACCAGCATCGTTACAATTTTCAACATGATTTCAGTGCTTGAGCCCTTGCAAGCCCATCTTTCCAGTATGGATATTGCCAGTTCCCCGAGCTCTTCAATATCCGACACATGTTCCGTTAGAAAAGGACACAGAGAAGCTACTGTCAAATTAATGATGACAGCCAATGTCCTATTGCTCAGAATAGTACGTATTAATTTTCTTACTTTTGGGAACAGTACACATGGAAATATTACTTACGAATGAAGGTTAATTGTCGTAAATGGAGATGGGAGCTTCATGAGGGAAGCAACAAGTTGCAAGAATTTGCGGCAGTGATGAATGCAGCTCAAAGCCGGCCCAATAAGGGCCTCATCTGGAATCCATCCTTGCGGCATGGAACATACTTTGTAAAGGAAAGGGCGATATATAATATCGCCGCAAGCCCAGTATCGTAAGAGCAGGTCTCCTTGGTTGGCTTTTGGGTCGCGGTCATCCAATTCTGGTTTGATGGATGACGGGAGGAGATCCCACCATAGATATAGCTGATTGTTGAGCTCCGCCGAGGCAGCGACGAGAATGTTTGCATTCTCTGAGTCAAATAGTCTGTCCAAAATATGTCCCCCGTGGTCTTTAGCATCACTACTAGCCGTGTTATAGATGATGTAATGAACACGGTTCATTAGCCGGCGAGCAGATAGATTTGCGAGCCAGAAAAGATCTTGACTATCGTGGCTCGGGCCACATTCCGGGTAAGACAGCATTTCAACGACGTTCTCAATTCCACTTCGGGGGAGATCATATTCGGCAAGAATGTCGCTGCCATGGTAAGTGGTAGTTCCTTGGCCACTTGCTTCCCTCTATAGACCTTGGGTGCGAACATACCACTCCACGAGAAAAATCGCCCAACACAGTCGCACCAGGTCCTGAGAGATCCCTTCGTTCCGGCTCTCACACCTAGAAAGTATCAGATTTGTTACGCAAGAAGAGGGCGGGCGCAAATTCACTCAAGAAACGCATGTTGTATGTTAGTTGAGGCCATGTGAACCATCCGCCAAGCTTGCAGGGGCCTGCATGAATAGTTGTACCAAGAGGCTGCCAGAAACAGAGCCTGACATAGATGAATATTCGTCTCGCAATATGATGCCCACTCCCGAAGCAGGAATTGGATCGCTGGTCGAGAAAATTCGGCCCCTGACGGCTTACCATTTTTGATGTCGTCCGGTGATGATCGAGAAATACTTGCCAGTGCAAGAACCATCAATGCCAAAGCGACCTTCGGGCCTACCGCACCTTGTGGTTCAATCGAATTGCAGGTCACCTCAAAAGCCCCTTGGTCAAGGATCGGATGCCTTGGATTTACCACTGCGAAGTAAAGACCGACTAGCTGATTAGTGATAGAATCATGTAGGGATATGGCTGATATATCAGGCCACGTATCATGCCGTAGTGAAAGCTCCTCAGGCTTTCGAGTTTGCTCTGTTTTAAGAAACATCTTCTTTGGAAATTCGCCGAGAAAAATATGTATGTTTGCAGTCCGAAGGAGATCTTCAGAAGTTAGTCCATTGCCGAGAGGAATGGACATGGGCATCGTGTCCTGGAGGCGAGAGAATGTCGTGCCACGCGGTGAAGTATTGGCCAGCTGTATAGTTGTTGTAGGCGTATCGTACGATACCGGGCAGGTATAGTCAGAGTGAGACGCGCCTAACCTGGTCGCAAAACTGCCCAACTGCCTCTTGATAGCGTCGATTGCAACCGAGTTCTCGCTGATGCGCGTCTCAAGCTCAATGAAGCGGCTATGCGGGGAGGGATCTGTTCCAATGCCACCCGCCCCGGTCCCAAGATTGTCTTCGGCTTGATTTGGGATGTTGATATCATAGTGGCATGCTACTCGGTTAGATTGCTGGCAAAGTGAGCATATGGGCTGCTTTCCATCGCAGCGACGTTTTCTGGATGAGATCTATTCAGCGTTTGTTCCTGCAGCCATACGGGGCGAAACAAACCGTTTTCGGCAATATTCGCAGGCAATAAAAGCTCTTTTCCGAGCGCTTGTTCTTACTTCCGTGTTACTCATGGTCACTACTGGAAAGAAGAGAATGGAAAGGCGGGCGGACCGACGTTAGAGCGGAGAAGTGAGGTCATGGCGGTCAAGACGGCATTAGACGGACTGGTGGTCTTAATAAGCAGGTGACTCATCTACGGCAGTTTACCTCAGTTACCTCAGCCGCCCCCAAAAAGGCGGTGAATTTGGCCATCCACCGCCTGCTGTTTCCAGCGATGCTGACACACCTTTTTTGGGGAACGTCTGAGCTGGGAATTTGGTGGTACCATACAAGTTTCCGGGGTTTTTGCCCGTGTTTATATGGCGAAGTTTCCAGGCGCGTCTTTCAATATTTCCAAGTTTCTCGCGCACCCACGCGAATATTAAGAATCGGGCGACGATGTCTTCTGCATCTTTCTGAGCTGAACCCATTGACACCAAAATTGTATGTATAACTGGAAAGGTGGGTGAGAAATATGTCCTTAAAATACCCGAAGGAACCCTTTCTTAAGCTGTCAAAGCCATTATATGCCCCAAGTATTCCGCCAAAACCTCCATGAAGCATATATTGACATATTTTAATGTATAGTGGCTACATCTGATCCACAATATTAACTCTATCGCGTGAGAATTGACTCCAAACCCGCCTCACGATGCCAGATCGACGCCCATCACGACGGAAGCCTCCTCGGAAATATAACGCGAAACTGAACGACCCCGGAAATGGACAGACACAGTTGGATAACTGGTTGGCCTCTGAGAATAATCGACCTTCTTCAAAGGCTGGAGAGCCTATTGAATTGGGAGTGGAGTACGAGAATGAGGGCGCAACTGTCTTGCTGGAGAAACAACAAGTTGAGAAGAATTCAGTTCTTCAAGCGCAGAAACTGATTCGCGATGCGTCTGAGAAGCGTAAGGATGAACAGGACCAAGCCATCAGACAAGCAATTCGAGAGCTGTATCCCTATTATCCACGTGCGGGTCAGTTGCAAGCATTGAGACAATTGATCTACCTGAGAAAGGACCTTATCCTGATTGCGAAGACGTCATTTGGGAAGAGTATGATATTGCAAGCAGTGTCACTCTTGCTTGATAAGTCTATCACCCTTGTTGTGCTTCCATTGAATCAAATTGGCGTTGAGCAGACCAATTACATCGAGAACATTGGAGGGCGACCTTGTTTCCTAAACAGGGAAACATTCTCATCCGAACTTCTTGACAGGGTACAAGCGGGCAAGTTCACACATGTCCTCGTGAGTCCAGAGCTTGCAATCAGTGACAAGTTCCGTTCAACTGCTATGCATCCAGGTTTCCGAGACCGGCTGGCTCTGGTTGTTGTAGACGAAGCTCATCTTGTGGCTCAATGGGGCAAAGATTTTCGAACGGACTATGCGCGATTGCATCAATTGCGAAGTCTATTCGGCAGTGGCGTCCCCTGGTTTGCATGCTCTGCTACGCTTGATATGAATACATTGCGCGTTGTTATTGAGGGACTTGGGTTTCCAAAGGATGTTGAAATCTTGCGGACATCCGTCAATCGTCCAGAGTTGCTCATTCAAACAGCTTGGATCCCACAAGGCGCGCATAAGAAGGCAACGGCCTTGCGTTTCCTGTTTGACAATGGTCCTTGTCAGCCCATTTTACGACCGTCACGAATCCCAAAGACATTGGTATTCTTTGACTCGAAGAATGATGCATATACTGCCATGGAAAATTGTCGGTATTGGCTGCAGCATAACAAGCAACCAGATGGGGCAAGTGTTCAACATTGCAACTATACCCTCAAAGAGGCAATGGATACGGTGAAGGTCTACCATAGCGACACCGCAAAGGGAGACAAGGAAGCAATGATCAAAGAGCTTCAGAAACCCGGACCGCAATCCAAGCTTCGTGTCCTCATGACCACCGAGGCACTAGCGCTCGGAGTGGACCTCCAGGATATTGATCAAGTTGTCATGTATCGGTTCCCCAAAAACCTACAACCAGCAACGCTCTGGCAACGCGGTGGTCGGGCATCTCGCCTTGGACAGGATGGAAAGATCGTTATTCTCGTTGATCAGTGGATACAGGGGCGTATCAAGAAACGTGCCGTGAAACGCAAGATTCATACAGAAAATGATGATCTAGCGGAAGACAACCCACTGGCCGATTCAGATGATGAAGTCAAAGAAGCAAACCCTGAGAGACCACAGAAAGGTGGACGCTTAAGTCATGAAGAGCGACGTGCTGTGTTGCCTGAATTTTGGTATCTCCTTGCCAATGAGCCTACAGAATGCCTCCGGAAACGGTTCCTGGACTACTTCAATGAACCTGAAGAGTTCAGATGTAATCCTCGGCGTGACCGGTGCTGCAGCAACTGCAATCCTGAGTATCAGCTCAATGATCCAACTCGTTATCTGTATACTGAGCACGGTCCGAGGTCAGGACAGATGGACGAGATAATCATCAACCAGTTAAAATATTGGTCCAAGGAGGTCCTTTCAAGCGCTTTGAACGGAGTGAAGTTCATACCTGATTGCTCAAGCATACTGGCAGAAGAACAATATGTCCATCTTGCGATATATATTGAAAATGCCACCTATTCGGAGCGGGAATATTTCCAGGCAAAGGATCTTCAGACAATATTGGGAATATGGGCTTTGTCGAATCAGCTTGCTGAGGGTCTTGTGGATGTCTTGAAGAATGCATATCAAGCAGCCTTTATGGCCACTATTCAAACCCCTGCAAAGAGGAAGCGTGTGTCGAATGACTCTAGTCAAATGAGTGAATGCAGCAACCTCACATGGTCTTCTGCAGTCACGCCAGAAAGCACCAGTCAACCAACTCCATCTCGGAATATCTCTCCGTGGGTTGATATTAACACGCCATCCCAAGCTTTTATGGACATGCCTCCTCCTTCGGCAACTCCAGTTCCCAAACGCAAGGCCCTCGGTGTGGTATCAGGAAATGGGCGTCGCGTGATGAAGGGTGGAGAAGACCTAGGTTCTAAGGTCTGGTAGAGAATGATGAACAATCCATCTGATGCATTCCATCAATGTGTGTCAGTCACCTTATAATATAGCGTGGGAGTATTATCAATGGAATGAAGAGAAGTATAGCTAAAGCTGTCCCGGCAGCAACCTGCTATTCAGTGTCATGTGTCATTCTCTTCAATCTCATCTAGAACAGCAATAGGAGTCGATGTCATCTTGCTAAAATCAACTTCTTGTGCCCACTGTCCGTTGACGACGAGGCTATTGAAGTTCTGTACGGCTTTGAAGAGCTTTTCGCCAATTGTTTCTGTGAGTATATCACATGGTTGAAAGCCTCTTGTCCGACCATTTGGTTGCTTTTGGATGCACTTCGAGATCTGATAAGCTAGATGACGAACATCCTGGCTAGCATCCTTATTTTGGTGTCGCCCATTGCTATATTCTCCAAAGGTAGCCTCCAGAAGCTCCTTTAGATCAGTACAGTAGCTGGCTGTGAGAGCAGTTCGACGGAACATGGTAGTGATGTCCAGATTTGAGGTCCGTCGAGTCGACATGAGTGTCTTCATATGAAGATTGAAGAACTCATTCAGTCGATCAATTTCGAACCAACCGTCCTCCGCACCCCGTAGATTCACAAGTCCGTTGGCAAGAATGGCAGTCTGCAGCTCGGGATCAGCTGCTTTGGTTTGAGTGAGCCATGTCATATACAAGGAGAGGAAAGAATATCGGGTTTTCTTTGTGCCAGGGAAGAGGAGACAACATTGTGCAAAGATCCGCTGGATAATTCCAATGTCACCAAGTTTGATGGCAAGCTTCAAGGACTTGTAAGTCTCCATCTGCTGAAGGAATTTCGCATGTGCTGAGAACTCATAGTCGACTGGTTCTCCTTCTCGTTCACGAACCTTAGACTGCTGCTCTTTAAAATGGAACAGAGACTGGCGTATCTGATCCACAACGTCCAGGAATTGACCCCTTCCGAGGCTTTGAATCCAATCATCCACATCTTTAGCATCCGCGAAATTGACTGTTAATGGGACAAACTGATAGAACATGGCCGTGACGCGAGCGTCAAATGAGCGAGTAGCCACCTCTTCTTTATGGTGGAATGGACTTTTGTGTCCCTGTACGCAACCGAGACAGACCTTATTATGATGGATCGTCGATTCAACGGTAGGGTGGTCTGTCCCAGCATAGAGCTCAAAGATCATATCCAAGTAGTTCATACGCCAGTGGAACAGTCCGGGGATTGGCAATATCCAGCTGAAACGATCGAAAAGACGAGAAGCCTCCGCACGTTCTTTTTTGACGGCACGAAGGAGTGACACTGTTTTCTGATCTCCATAAACCAGTTGTAAAAGCCCATCAAGGTCTGTATCATCATCATCCCCCAGTTGCTCCAGAAAGACATTCTGAATGACCTTGTATGTCCCCTCTGTCGTGCCTTCGTTGTATAACATTGGCCCAAGGCTGTAGTGAATTGTCTTCTGCGCTTGCAGTCGTTTAACTGCTGGGAATTCAGGCCAGTCAATAAGATGGGCTCGCGGTTTCATCTGGCCTGGTTTGACGCACGCTTCCGCAGTAAATAGTTTCTCTACTGCCTCCCGATGAGTATAGCGAATGGCCTCTGCAATCCAATGGCGCTGACATTGATGGAAGATCTCATCATCCTGATTGCCTGGTGCCATGTAGATATCATGAGGACTCAGTGTAACCTCTGGATGGAACATAGATCGGAGAAGCCCTCCTGCAGGGATGGACTGACCGATACAAAGCTTGCCAGTGGTGGCGGAGATATGCTCTGATGGATCACGAATAGTTTGATGTCGAACAGTCTGGCTGTAGTCAAAGTTATCCCATGCCACAATGAGATTCCTGCGAGAAGCCTGGGCATTCTGTTTCAATTGTTTCTGTACACATCTTGGGGTAAGAAGTCAGCCAGAACATGTTATTCTCCGGTAAATGCGGTTATAGTACCTGTCCTAGTTCTGCAAGTTCCTTCCGTCTGTCCATGATAGTCTGGTATGCTGAGTTTATCCCCAGGCCAGCCAGAAAGCTAATCACACGTCGCTTGACACCCATTGCATGTAAATACAAGCCGATCAACATCGGGAAGTTGTTGCTTTTCCGTGGTGCAAAAGCGCAAGCCAGAATTGAACAGACCATCACAATGCTGCCCTGGTGGATCTTGGGTGTATCGCGATGGTTTCCTGGAGGTGTCATGATGCTAACGAGCAGTCCACAGAGCTCTGGAGCTTTCCTCTGCATCTGCGTAGCCAAGCTAGAGATGTCCATATCTTTAGGGTCCACATTGGACTGGAACTCGCCGAGTATATCTCCGTTAATCAGCCCTCGAATCTCGGTCTGTATCCGAGACACGAGATCGGATGCACCAGTGGCATATATGTCTTTTGAGACACTACCTAGCCGCTCAATAATTTCAGGTTGCCCATATATAGCGTCAGACAATTTCTGTGCTCGATACGATGTCGAATATCCATTTTTTTTGACTGGTTGTGCATGCACCATGTGGTAAAGAAGATCCTTGATTGTCCACCGGTGCTTATCATTAAGCTCAGCCAGTACCATATCGACACGTTCGCGTGGCTGCAATCCTGAGATATAACGAGATCGCTGAGTAGACGCAGGTGGTTCTTGTAATGGTGAACTGGAAGAAGGCCACTCGAGGGAGGATTGTCGAGCACGCTTTCGCGATCTAGAGATCATATTGGGCAAATCCGGTGATGCCATTCTTTCTAACAATGTCAGAAATACTCTCAGAGAGCTTGAGAAAACACACCTTGACCAAATGGTGGGGTTGCTGGCGAGAACCGGAAACTTGTATGTACGGAAGGGGTTCCCGGCTCAGACCACGGGCTGATGAAGCAACCCAATCGGGTTAGCGTGGCAGAATCGGCAGAATTCTGTCTCATCATTGGCTGTGGTCTGAGGGAACTGAGGTAAACGGCAGTTACTTATTGATCGTCAGATAAGACAAAAGTGTACGCGCAGAGACACGGCACATGGCGAGATACGTTAACAGGCTCAGCTAGCCCCGAAGACTAGTCTAGGACACGTTAGCGAACCCCTATACCACGGGGGTGCTGAACTCTGCCAGAGTTCAGGTTAGGGGTTTCCTTTACTATGAGAGAAAAAAGTGGGCCCCGCCTGGGTTCAGTTAATTTTCCTTGCCAGGGTCAGCATCTAAATTATGTCCAATCGGTCTAAAAGCTGGGCCAGTTATAGTAGATTATGTTACTTATCTCTCATTTTCATTAAAGCTTTTTTTCGCCCTCTTATGGTCGAGAAAATGGCAATTAAACTTTGGAGATATCTTGAAAGGGTACGGGAAACTGGGCAAATTCGGGTTGGGACCGAGGCCTGAACCTGAAATCCAGAATTTCGGACGAATTGAATCACCTCGATTATCTTAGTCTACAATGATAGGGGAAGTAGCAATTAATTTAGGGTGTATAGAAGATCCCTAGCTACCATCGCACTTATTTTCACACTTATTTTCACACTATAGTCATTCTCGAAATCGGCTTGACCAATACACACATAATAACTCTTTCCTGGCCCCACCGCCAAGGCCTTAGCGCAGATCATTTATTGAGCGTGCTGTAGTATTTTGAGGGACACCGTAAGATGCACTCTGTATAGTACTGTATATTACGAATTATATTACATATTACCCAACATCGAGCGTTCTTGGAAATAAGATTCTCGAACTCGGCTGTGCCGTTGATGAGAGTGGGCGGCCCTGCGGGGCGGATTAGTCTTAATCTGAGTGTAGACACTGCTCATATAGAAAATCCCATCTTGCTGAGACTAGCCTATGCTTCGAAAAAGGGTTGGGAGATTCAAAATGGTTAAAACACTCCACAAAGAAACATCGAAAATGCACTATATTAGATGCAGACGGTTCCTGTTCGCCGGCAAAGCTACAACAGGAAGTGAAAACGCAACTCATCCTGCCATGGACCTGATTCAGTTCACTTTCTAGATTCCGACTCCGAGTCTGGTCCGCACGAAACTTGCTCCAATAACCACCCCGACAGCTGGCAGTCGGCAGTTAACTTGTTCCTGCGTCCATACAGTTAATCATTGTCCTGACCAAACAACAATGCCCGGATGAAACTACCGCAGAAAAATGCGCAGACTTTCTTAAGTTTGCCGATATCGAGGGAGTCGCAATTCTCGATCTACGTCAAAGGTGCGGTCTCTCCGACACGGTCGCATTCAAGCCACTCTGAAGCCTAATTTTTGAGCAGCTTGTCACCATTCGTACCCAACAAAACTTAAACTTGTCGTCATTTCTCGGCATCTCAACGCAGTGCGTTCTGGAATTCTTACGCCCAAGGTTATAGACGATTCTTGAGGGCGCACCCAGGAGGCGATCTATCCGCGTACTGCTGGACAAAATAAAACACGTACAAGAGAGAAACGGCAATCATGTAATAGTATTTGGTTCTTTATGACCAAAATTACATGTTTTACTTCAACAACATCTTGGGGATGAGACTAAGCATTAGCAACACGAGTAGGGACAGGACAAAAACACCTTACAAACTACCTAATCCAACGTAATCGCCATCCTCTCCTGATCATCTCGGGCCATAGTATCAAGTGTCCACCCCCACAGATCCTCTTGCTTTGCTCGATCATAGCTCGCCTCACTAGACCTAATCTCCTTCAAACCCTCATAGTACACACCACTAACCCCCTCAACATCGTCCGCCACAGCCAACCTAGCCAGCGCGGCCCCAGACTCCCTAGGAGTATGGATATTCGGCGAAATAAACAGCCGCAAAAGCGGAATAATGTTCGGCAAGACACGCAACCAGAGGAACTTTTCTACCCTGCTCGCTCCTCGTGCCAGGCCAGACTCTTTGATCGATTCTCCAACCCCCATGCCAAGACTCATTAATCTATAACAGGGCTAGACCCGGAATATCAATAGTCCTGTATCATATAATTGCCGTGACCTACCCTGATCAAAATACGAACCAAATGCCTTGTGCTGTATTGGCGATGCAGGGGGACCGGAATTTTCAATAGTAATGCAACAAGTCAAACTCTAGGGCCTGAAAGTGAAAAGGGCCTCGAGAGTCAAGCAAGTTGTCGCTTTCTTTTGCCACTCCACTGTCTAAGTGACAGATCTAGGGGCTTCTGACACATCTAATAAAAGCTAACACACAACTATATTACTTGACTCCTCAATGGCATTTTGTGCCTTAGGGTGATGACTCATTCTCCTTTTAACGATAATAATAATACCCACCGACCTAAACTGCCTAAGCTCTGAGAACGGACTCCCTTATATGCACCTATATAGCCAGGATAATGTCTGCCGGGTGGGGCCTTTCCTATCTGGGCTGCCGCCGCTTTATGAGGGCGCTCAGGCTGAGGATCAGTGAGTAGATGTCAGCACGGGCTCAGACTCAGTGAGCATGCTCTGGTTCGGTCACGTGCATGATGACTAATCGGCGGCGTGCTCAGTGAGTGCTCAGTGACCAATTTGGCATGCTCAGTGCGTGCTCCGGGATCGCTCAGTGAGTGCTCAGTGAGTGCTCACTGATACCTTAGTAATGCTCAGTGAGCACCCCTGATTTGTTTAACTCCATCTTACTTTTACCCAGTAGAGGCAGGCCCCACAGGGCCATTTATTCTGTGATGGTTAGTGCGTTGACGATATTTGAGCTGCCCTCGTTTTCTGGAGGATCCCTTGCCCCCAAAATCATGCGTCATGTCTATCAGGCACAAAGAATACGGCGAAGGCCATCCGATTAGGGATAGTCTAATGAAAGTTTCCTGTCTTTCTCCAGTACGGCGGCCGACTCGAGCTCGAAGTCTCAGCTATATAAGGACACCATGTCCCCATAAACCAGCTCTCTCATCATCTCATCCAAATCTTCCATCCCACTAAGTTGCTTCTACAGCTAGCATTCGAGCAAGGTTCATATTGATGGAGCGAATGGACTTCTTCGTTAGACGCGATGAGATAATCAAGGAAAGGCGCCGTCTACTACGAGAAAAGAATGGATACGTCCCCGGGGCCCATAGGGAGGAAGACAGCATCCGAAATAAAGACAAGAAGCTCGACGAGACCAAGCAAATACACAAAGAGACGCTGGACCTCTGGCTCGAGTACGTTGACGGACCCGCGAGTTCTTGGAGGAAGCTGACTTCTCTCCTAGCTTCACAGCAGACCCAAGCAATAAGTTCAAACATTACAAAACTGTTCCCGGATGTTCCCCTCCGAGCCATGATGTGGTTAAGGAATTCATTCGCTGGTGTGTGAGTTCTGCTACGGGCAGACTCAGCGAAGGCAAACAGCCAACTGTTAGAACTGTCAAAGCGTGGGCGGAACGATTCTTTGGGGGATTCAAAGAGAGCACCAAAACGGAGGTACCCAAGGAGGATAGAAAAGAAGTATATGATGTGGGTTTTCTATTACTCTGTCATCAACAAATCACTAACTCTACTCTTCCATGAAATGCAGTGGATAAAAAATACGTTGACAGCAGAAGGAATTGTTGTGAACCAGAAAAAGCAGAAGTACAACTTCAAGAGGGATGACTTTTTGAAAGTTGTCTCTTCAATTTGGCAAACTGACCATCAAAAATTTATTCCCGGGCTGACCAAGGTTCTCATTCTATTTGCTCTTCAATTATATCTTTTCACGGGGGCAAGAGTCGGAACTTTTATGCCTTCTGATAAGGATAAACACCACAAAGGCCTTCGATACGAAGTATGTATGAACCGTCTCTGAAGTACATTTTGTTCTAATTTTTGAACCAGGACATCAAGTTGGTTCTATTCCCTTCATCCACCGCTCCATGGGAAGTTGGATGGAGAGTCAACCAGAAATGGCTCAAGAATAATCGTGATGAAAAGTACACAGTGTAAGGTTTCAAAAAAAATTGGCTTTTTCTCTCTTCTATTAACATGTTCCCAGGTTCGGAATCGGTATCCGTGACAGCAACAAACCGCAATTCGCATCTGGTCAACTTCTCCTCGCACTCGCACTTGAACATGGCGCCCTTTTCGGCATAGAGACTGTTGCAGACTTGGTAGACTGTGATCTATCAAATGGAGAGATGCCCTTAGAATGGAAGGAAAGTTATAAGACGAAACCGATTTTTCGGAATGTCACAGCCGATGGGCCTCAAGATATCCCTCTTACGAACAAACAGTTTTCCTCCTACCTACACCAGATTTTTGATGCAGCTGGCTACAGTGAACGCCCGACAATACACTGTATGCGAAGGAACCTGGCGAAAGAGGTCGAATGTAAGCAAATATGAACATCAATACGACTGAGCATGATCCGGTGGTTGACGCCTAATACAGCAAGGTATGGCTCTGCGCCCGTCTCACAAATTCTGGCGCATCGGGATCCAAAAACATTTCCAGAGCACTATCAAGCCCATTGCTCCTCTATAGACACAGTCTCGGCTATTCTTGATGAGAAAGCTGAAACGAAACACATTGAGTACTTCCAGGGCTACACCCAATTTCGTGTGCCTGGTCTACCTGTTAATTTGCCTGCTCACATCGACGAAAGCATTCTGATGCTACCTGAATTGGTGGAATTGAGAAGCTGCATCGGAGACCTCAAAAAGTGCAATAATCAGACGGATCTTCGGGCCACGAAGCTGCGGTACAGGAACGCATTGGTTCGGCAACGCCGGTCTGAGCTCAAAAGGTATCAGACTTCGTGGGTACAGGCCAGACGGGATCAAAAATCCTCAACCGTGGCAAAGAGCAGCCGGTCTCAGTAACAAATGATGTTAGTATACGCGCTCAGAGTTTGATCATGCCTGAAATTGCGCGAATCGCAATAGCGATGTCCCGTACCACTGAGCTGTCCTTTGAAGAGAAAATCATGTTCGTCAAAGACTTACAGACTCAGTGTTCCCGCGATTTTGATGTGGTCTATCTTCCCAATGAAAGTCCAATTCATGGTGCCTGTCCCGCGAAAGCCTGCCAGGTCATCATTACAAGGTAAGTGGATCTTTGGCCGTGATTATGCAGCCCTTTAACAACTTCAATCAGCTTAAAAAAGAGTGAACGAAGCACTCACGTCCATGCATGCGTCCGAAGCGAGAAGGCATCTGGTTTTCAAGTCTCGGAGTCACAAATGCGCTTTTGTTACGAATGTATGGAGTGGTTCTTGTTAAGCGAATGGCGAGATCACTGCAATACTCACCTCCAGTTATGGGAAACTCAACACTGTGAAGTTATTATATATCGTCACACAGTGATCCGCCCCGGCTACTGTCCCTTGTGCTTGTGGAATGCGGATCTTCCCGCGGAAGAACGATTGGATTATTGGCTGAAAAGTGGCAACCTGAGGCAACACATTGAAGAACAGCATATGTGTGGGCTCCAGTGGCCTACATCCAAGCCAGTATGCGGGTGTGCCCAAGCTTTCGACAATGAGCGTGACATTCGACATCATTTGCACGACATCCACGGGCTGAACAAAGCTATATGGTCTAGTCCAAAGCCTCCGAGAAAGAGAAAGCGTGCCTGCAAGGTGGAGCTGGAAGCACAAAGATCTTCGACAGAGCCAGAGGAGGAGCGACCCAAGAGATTCCGCTTTCGCCCCTATCCGCCTCCGCGCCATGAACAGCAGTCAGATCACGTATTTATGTCTGTTCCTGCATTGCTTTCGTACGTTGAGGAACATCCCGAACGATATTACTGTTCGAAACTCAGTGATACTCCAAGTGAAAGCAGTAGAGGTAGCTCAACTGCATCCTACTTTTCCGCAGCAGAATCTTCACTCAGCTCCCCGCCAACAACTCCCGGTCTTGATGTCATTGATCCTCGAATCCTCAAGCCTATTGGAATTTACATGGGGGATGTATGCCAGCCTTACAACCAAGCACCTGTTCAACTGGACTCGCCCGATCTCTCTATGCACGAGCTGGCGACAAAGAACGAACCCTTCAATTGCCCTAAGCCGTCTAAACGATCTAGCGAAGATTGTGCCGGCAACGAAGCAAATGAAAGGCCAAGCAAGGCTTTGCGAACAGATTCTCTCATCACCCCCAGCAATCAAAGGCCGAAGCTTAGGCGCAAGGAGCACCATCATACGCAGGCAGAATCCGACGACAAAACCCTTTCTGGTAATCAAGCCTGTGTCCCGCTCACCCGAGCTAAGTCAAGATCACAGCCACCACTCAATAGTCTGGGTGGTTTGAGTACTCGCAAGCTCCGTCAGAAGCTTAATACAAGAGAAAAACGAAAGCTGCTAGAACTCAAGGGTCAAAATCTGACCTTGAGGCAGATTGGGCTCCACTTTGTAGACATAGATACGGCCTTTCTGCGACAGGCCTGGAAGGATTTAGAACTTCCTCAGCGATGCACCAGATCAGGGTCTAGTCGGATGGCCCGTCGGAAATATGCTTGCTAAGTGGTTTATGTAACTCGAGCACTACTCTGTGTGTCAATTGTAGTCTATTTGTACATAACTTACTTTTCATAAATAATAGAGACTGAATTCTTCAACAAACCTCTGTCTTTTAAGGTCACAATGTCACTACCCAAGACTCCAGCGAAATGTACTTGTCGCTAGCGAAAACCAGAAAAATGAAAGATCATTGTTACATCCTCCAGAGCCAGCTTTGCTGAAAAATCTTCTGTCAGAAAGTTAGCCGTCATTCGTGCTAGACTTGAAGCTGAAGAGGTTCGCTGCGTAAAATCATTACAGTAGCGAGTGCGAACGCAGGTGTTCTGGCGAAACTGATTACAGCCGGCATGTCACAAATCAAAACACCGTTACATTACTAGTACGTTGTTGCACCGCCGCACTTGACAAGGCTTGGCTTAGGAGGTATTTTATCCGATGTAATGTAACGTAACTGTTATGTTTTCGTTTGTATGATACAGAATTATCTTTGGCGTGATCTACTTACTGCCATCGAGCTTTTCATATTATATTCTTGATATTCTTGTGAGACCACAAAAAATCGAATTGTCGTCGTTATTTCATTACTTAGACATATTAATAGAATCAGAGTAGCTAGAGGAAAGCTTCTTATCGAAGATCCGACTAAAGCATATCGTGTGCTAGCCTGTCCAGAATATTCTTTGATACTTTGAGAGCAGCTTATTTGTTTATAGGACCCAATGGTAGGTGCTTAAGATATTTCCTAGTGGGGCTAATTATGAGTCGGTTCCTGGGAGCAGACGATGCCCCAATTTTGACATCTTAGCCTGTTCATGAGCTTCTGGAAGGACTCTTGGTTTGTTTTTAGGAATCACCATAGCCACCATGAAGCGTCCAGTGGAATCTGGGTTGGAAACTGGCTGCACGGTTCATATTGCTCCTAGGATGGATTGCATGCGTCGTAGGATTATGTGTGTGTTGAATTTGGTGGACAAGGTATACGTCACCCTTTGCATTAATACTACTGTAAGCCAGTTCCAGCTTTCAAAATGAGGTATAGTATAAGAACAGGTCAAATACCCATAGATAGTGAAGTATCAAAATTTCTACCGGAAATCGCAATTATAACAAACCGGCTCTTTTTTGTACTCTTTTTGCCTTGAGTACTCAAATTCATCCCACGCCCATCTCCAATTTTGAGATATGAGAAATTTCCTTCTGGCCTTCGATCTAGCAAGTAAGAGACAAGATCAGTGCGCTTCTGGTGTCAAAGGAATGCACCGGAGGTACAGAACAGACACAAAAAAGGTCTGCAAAAATGAGATGCTTGGCAATTTTTGATTAGGCTTTAAAGGTGACGGACGTGATTCGGAGAAAGAAGCAGGTGAAACACCTTAAGAACTTTTCCTCGTGCATGGATCTCCATAGACCATGTATTTGGCCTATCCCGCAAATTTGGAGTGGGATGGTCCGTCCTGGACCTGCTCGGGGTCATGGGACTGATCGGTTTGGAGCCGTTGTATTGGTCAGGATGCAGCAAGCCAATTATAGCACTGCTCCTGAGTTAAAAGCACCAAAATCCGACGTCTGGCTGATCCAGTCGGCTTGGAGGAACAGGACGCTAAAGGGCTGTATTGATCCTATCCCTGGACATGGACTTTGGCCGTCTTATGCCTAGCCCCTTGTTCTGTAAATGGAACGAAGCACGCTACACGCGATGCTCTTGCCAATAAGGTTGAAAAGAACCGTAGCAGACAAATCCAATGGTATTGTAAATCCCTACTAGTAACACATTGACCTGGAGTATCAATGAGATTATTGTTTGCTTACCTGTCATTGATTCCTGGGAGCGACGAGGCTCAAGCAAGTTCGAGTTGGAAGCATCACGAAGAGGGTGATACGAAATAACTCATAATCTCAAAAAAGGTACGTGTGGTAATGCCACATCTAGCCACCGACATCATGCACAGGCCCACGACTAGTGCACTTTTTCTTCCGCTCGAATTCCTCGCAAGTCCCATGCCGATCCTGAGAGTATCCTCTTGGCCTAGCCACTAATTCCACCTTAGGATGCAAGGACCAATTAGATTTCCTGTTTGGCTACGCAAACATTCATCGAATTGGGCATTTGCTATGGGCTTGAATACAGGCTAGGGGCCAGATGTTGATTCCTAGGGCATAGACCGGTCATAGAAGTTAGACCCCGTTATCTCGCTTGAGACGCAAAAGACTAGGGTGCACAAGCATGCCTCGGGTGGCGGACTTGATCGCTGTCTATACGCAGTCCTGACACCTAGGTGAAGCGATGATGTTCCTGTGAACCGGATTACGCAGCTTGTCGGTGTTAGGTGTCTCAGTCAGCAATTTGATTGCCCTGGCGCGCCATTTTCCTCGCACCGGTCTGGAAGTCTCGTCACATGCGCTGCAGCAAAGTTGACTGGTCTCCCCATGGGCCATCGAGGCTCTCAGTGGCGAGTTGTCCTGCACAATTTCCGCGCGTATCCTCAACTATAGTGCAGCCACCATGCAGTGAGAGTAGCTCGTTTTGACAAGAAAGCAAATAGGTCTACAGTGACTAAGGGTTTTCTTGCTACTGATTGGGAAGCTAGTGCCTTCAGTTCACCAAATTTGGCTAGGTCCTCACGGACGAAATCTCAACAGCCCCATTTGCTGTTTCTTACAGTCCGGGATTAAGGACGCTCGTTCCTCTCTTGCGAAACCTAACCACCCTGAGGTGGGTGACCAGGGACCCAACGAAGGTGCTCAGATTATCTTTAACCCGTGATGTGACAAATAAGCCCGTACCATGCCCCAGTGGTCATCATCCACAATGGCGCCGAGTGTCCGAGGGTCAGAATCTTTGCTGTGCTGTATACCAACTCAAAGAATGCGAACGGATCCACACTGAGCTGGGTCTCCCTGTTTGTCTCCAAGCCTTGAATGTGATCTAACCCGCAGCAGCAGTGATAACAACGCCGATAGCTAGAGCTACTAGTCACTAATAGGCCGCTGCCTATTCAATTACCAAGCCTATGAAAGTGAATCGTGCACCCATCACTGCAGTCACGATGTCCGAAGTAAGCAGGAGACTCCGAGTCGCTCCGGGTGACCTCCGCTGTGTGTAGAAAAGAAGCAATCATATTATTAGTCTAACAACTATGACTTTTGATACAATGAGATCCAATCAGCTCACCCTTGGCGTGTATACAGGGGTAGGCGTCATATCAGACGGTGTGCTAGTGTCTGTTTCAGACCGTGAGTCATATCATCTGCTTATGTGATTTTTCTGGCCCACACTACGGTGTTCTTGAACCAAAGGCTTAAATTGACAAGAACGGAACTTCCTGTCAGTTTCATTTCCGGGTCTATTCCGCTGATTACTTTGGCATCTGCCATTTTCTCAAGGTTCCATATCTTGTCTTACCATGAATTTGATTCGCAGGAACTTCTAACTCTTATTATTTAGTGACCCAATTCATTACCATTGTGATCAAGAAAGATGAACAACGGGTTTTTTCTCATAAAAACCAAATTCGGCATCTGCTGTGTTGCAGAGAGCCTCCGACAATTCTACGTCCCATGGGAAGACTACCTGAAGAAGCGGAAAGAGGAGTGTGACCCCCTGGAAAATATTTGCAAAAAATCTGGAATTAGCGTGAGAGGTTGGCTCTGCAGATGGCAGAGGGGCGAAATACGGGCCTCCCTGGGACAGCGTGCTAAGCATGACTCTTCGCCAAATATGTACGAGGCATGGGGTGGAAAAGTTGATCCCGGAGAAACGATATTAGAAGCTTTGATTCGGGAATTCTTTGAGGAGACCGGCCTGATACTTACTTGCATATATGATCAAGTTGGCGGGAACGACGTGTTTGAAACACCAAAAAGCAAGATATGGATTGAACAAATTCATTTCCTGGTTGAGGTCAAGAAGTCTTCTCGCGGTAGATCCTACCCCATCGTCTTGCATCAGGATGAGCATCAAAATTTTATGTGGGCTCCTGGCAGACTTAACGCATTGCGTGGTCTTTCAATGACGCAAGCTACCAGAAACCATTTTGAACCAGCAGTTGCAAAGTTCAGGGAGAACTTTCCTTGTCCCAAATGGCAGAAGCGTTTGGCCTTTTTTAGGGACGCATTTGAATAGCTAGATATTCGAAACCCAAGGAATGGAGTGACCCCGGGCCGTGGATGTGGACTTGATTCTTTGTATCTAGTGAGGCCTAAGGTGCTACAAAGGTTGCTAGCTTTTATTTCTCCCCTATCACTACTCTGTTCCGTAATACATTTGTCGGAACGAAACATTTCCGTCCAAAGTGATTTTGAGCATTCATGGAGAGGTTTGCCAGCTCTGGAAAAAGCCTACCTGAGCTACACTGCGAACAAACGCGCTCTGGATTCCAGAGGCCGATAACCGAAAAGCACCCCGTTTGCGAGTCACTTCATAGTCGGTCGTGAAAAGCCCCAGCCCCCTGCGATTTTGGCCTATAATAAAATGGTCAAAACCGTGCACGACCATTATCGCATGCTTTGCTATTTCAAATTTGTTCATGATTAGTATTCCCCAGAGGCAAATTCATGACGCGGATGTTTAAAACGACATGTAATCGGCGGATGACGAGTGGGGGGATGTTAAGTGGATCCTTTCCTGAGCCCAATCCCACGTACCTTTTACACAGGCTGTGCAGGGTAACCATTGGCCGGGCAATAGGATCAAAAGAAGAAAAGTTGGGGAGGAAGTTGAGGGGGAGTTGGGTTTGAAGGCTTTTTTTGGGACTGAAGAATAAACACCCAGTGAGACACTGCCGCGTTGCAGGTAATAGGAAGACGAAAAGGGGAAAATACAAGATGCCCATTTCGTACTTGAAAGGGAAGGGAAACGCTTCACCATTTTTTTCATCAACAAGGCGAGCCTCTGAATCGGCGATGTGGACATGCAGGTCGTCAGACAAAATGTGGAAGAGATGAGTATGATTCAGTTCCTCTGGGCTACTGGATTACACAATATAGAGGCAAAGACTGTGCACAATATTCACATAATCAAAAGTTTCTTGCCCCTTGAAAGGTGTTCGAGTAAATCCTCCGCATTTAGTAGATAACTCATCTCTGAGTCGCCAAAAAATTTCTGACGACAATAGGAAATGAGGAAATCCAAGTTCTCCCTGTCACCTTCTTCTACGCAGCCGCTGATTAAATTCCAAAACAGCGCGCGTACAGTGGGAATAGGTGAAAAGAATTGATTGCCGAGCTATGAGAGATCATTTTTGCCAGTGGCCCTCGACAAAGCCATACACCAACCTCCATTGATCTGGGCAATTGTTACCTGGGCTTTTACAATACTTCTGCCGAGTTGGTGAGCAAGCGACTAGTTCGAATATCAGGCGGTCTTACACCTTGGCGGGTTTGTTGTCCGGCAGTATGCCGCAACTGTTCCATATCATGTTAGATGGATATGTACACAACTATAGACGAGATCCTTCACCATACGTACCCTGTCGTGTTCACTACTAGCTAAATAGATCCCGGTCCGAGACTTATGAGGGCTGCGTGGGATATAATTGGACCAGCGTTATTAATTGTCTGACATCGTTCGATCCTATCTATGTCAGTATGAAGCAGGCTTTGAAATCAGTGCGAGGCTTACGGTTTGCCACCATTTGCAAAGAACAAGTATATCAATGGGTCGGTAGTGTTCAATTCCTCACCATCAAGGTTGGGGACGCTCCAGCGATTGGCTGGAGCGGAGTCTGTCTTGGGCTGCAACAAGAAAGAGCCCAGTATTGGCCCATAATCAAGTTAAGGTGAGTTGGAAAAGTTCTTGGAAGTTAGGCGTTCAAATCGATAGCCTTGACGAATAGATTGGTGATATGCCTCCGCATTTTGTACGAGCCGGCGGGGAAAATGAAGATCAGGCAGCGGTGCATCAAGCACTTTTCGGGCCGACTTTGTGCTCGCATTCTGTTCAGGCAGGGAGGTCATGTAAGGAAAGTGTATCATAGGGTCGAAATTGATGAGAATCAGTATATGGTGATTGGGGGGCAATCCTTCAGCAGAGGTAGAGTATATGATCGACCGCTCGTCACAAACAGTCCGAACAAGACTAGTGGACGAGTCTGGACATAGTAGGGCCAGTAGATCCGAGGGAGCATCCTTGGAAGGCCATAAGCAAACACCACGAGAGTCGAAATGCTCCACGCCCCTTTCGTGAATTGCACAGCTACGTTCCCGCGTTCGAAGTCGCAAGCAGTGCTGAGAGCGCACCCCATCTGCTTGCAAATTAGGGTCAACGTAGGTCGCCGCAGCCAGGTGGTAGCTGCTGTGCCTGGTATCTGCCGGAATGAAGTCGAAACGTTGGTCCAGAGGACGGCTAATATCATGCTCAGCGTGGCGATCGCGAACCAGTGGTTTTCCCTGGAGCTGGCTATGAGCTTCACCTGAATCCATCGTATCAGTGAGGCGGGTAAGCTCCTTTGAATGCATCGCCAGGGCTTCGTCTGGCCTAGGAAGCGGTGTGGTGTAGTAGGTACGATAGTTTTCGCTTCTGCCGTCGAGCCATTCACGGCGGCATTCAACGATGACCGGTCGGCCCTTTTCCTCGTCCACTTGTATTGAGAGATCAGCCCACATTTCGTGAATAGGGCCTTCACGATGATCAAGGCGCCAAAGACGTCCATTACCCTGGTTATTCTTATGATTCGGGGCGTAGCATGACCAGTGGTAGAAGGAAGACTCTTGCTGGTCTATTATGGAGACCACATAAAGATGCCCCTCGTAAATCTCAAAACATATTCTCTTGCCAAGCTCGACATCGACAAGACGTTCTATGGAGAACTGAGTTCGTCCCAGCGTTTCAAAATCTATGCCCCACAGTACCCAAACGGTTGTGAACATGCCACACCAGATATATAGAAGGGTGTGTCGGACAAAAATTGGATCCGAGGAGGAGACTGGTTCGTGGAGAAGGAAAGGAAGGAACGATCTCTGTCGAGCCTGCTCTGGGTGAAGCTCTAAATCGATGGCGACCAGATCACCCTCATTTGAATTGGCTTGGCTGAACAGAAGGATCAAGATATCGCAACTGAACCGTAGAAGGGTGGTTTGTTCCCCCACATCTGAGAGAATGTATTCAAGTCCGATGAGGTCACGGTTCATATGGTCGAGGTCCAAAACACGCTCTTTTTGGTCTGCATTGTGTACATCCAGTAGACGAATTTGGTTTTTGACTCGATAGCACAGAAAGCCTTGGTGGTATAAGAAGTCTGCGGCATAAGCCAGCACTGAAACAGAATATGGGGACGCAGTGGAAACTGCTTCATGAACATCAAAGCGATGCTGGATGGCCCTGATAATAGCCGGTCTTAGTGGCGCAAGCTACTTGTCCTTCTTTGCGGTAAAGTAGAATATTCTAAGATAAGTTTCAGCATGGTGTGTTGGTCCATAGCGGGTAGAAATCTTTTGTTCGTTATTGCTCACCTTGACAGTAGCCCGTGCAATGATGCAATTTTTCATTAAGCTAAACATTGAGCGGCTTGAGCGACTGAGGTGCATATAGTCTCGAATGTCGAGGTAGGCTGCTATGTGGAAGAGAATGTCGAATGGTGAGGACTACAAGGTACGTGATGACTTCGAGGTAGGTGATGACTTCGAGGTAGGTGATGACTTCGAGGTAGGTGATGAAGACATATTCATAGACAGAGCCAGTGATCCAGGGCAAAATTGGAAGGGGGCAGTACAAGATGGCAGAAACGATCAGACACCAAGTGGCACAATGATCCACTTTATTTATTTGGCCCAGGAAGCTAGCCCTGGAATAGGGCTCCCGCTGTGCCAAGCTGGCCATCGAGCCCCTGAAATTCCATCGGCCAATGGTATCTTTATCTTACCTGCTGAGGATTGATTGGCCAACGGGGCTTATAGTGGCGCCGATATATTCCTAGGTGCGATATGGATCCCAAAACCCAAAGTGCTGCCAGGCAGCGCTATTCGACGGAAGAGAGCCAACGGATCAGCACTAAAGGTATATCATTGAACAGGAATTCGAGCCAGACAGAAAAAAGTGGGAGGCGTGTGGTCTGCAATGTGGTTGCGACAACATCATCCCTGCTTTCAAAGAGCACTATGATGGCTTCGTGCGCAGAAGTCAAACTGAGGCGATCTTTGACATGTCCACCCTACAAAGTGCTTTGCCCAGGATGCTCTCGGTCTCGGTTAGCAGAGGCCAAAAAAAAGAGGTCGAAACCGGACCATTCCAACAAATAAAACTCGGTATCTAATGAAGATTGGAATTCATCAAGTGAGGCGGATTGGCATATTGAAAGTGAGACTTATTGCGACACACACGATGAAGCGGAGGAGTCCAATGCAATTGATGATGCATATAAAATTCCGAAAAGCGACTGGTGAGATTATGGCCCATGCAGGACAAGTAATGGGGGAGGCTAGGAAATAGTGGCTTGATGTCGGGCCTCACGCTTTAATTTGGCCATAAATGGAACCGAGGGACATTTACAATCGAGCAACTGCAACTCAACCTTGAAATATTACAGGCAGCCATCTGGTGTTTTATGTCACAATGCATTTTGATCATGTCATACGATCAAGGTTCGTAAGAGCCTTGTTCTATTTCTGATATGAGAGGCGATAGCGGTTGGCACCGCCCCTATCATACTGACCCGAACTGACTCCCAGACAGCACTCGCCTATAGGAATGTAGTAACGCAAAAAAAGTAAGAAACACTACTGCATATCACCGAATGGTTTTCGTCGCCTTTAATATATTCAATCAATCCTACTGTGTTCTATAACATGGCATTGAATCAGATACAGATTTAATCTCCCAAAGAGCCACTCCCAACGCCAAAAAGACTATTCTACATCACCTCGACGATCGGTATCGCCCTCTTCACGTCCTCGACCCAGTCACGAATATTCTCTACCAAACTTCGGGCAATTCCTGGCTTGGTCCCCTTGCCGACGAAGAATTCTGGGTTTTGATCCTTGTAGATGTGCTCAAGTTCAAAGCCATCTGACAGCGTTATATCACACGCTCGTCGGAATCCAGCTTTGAGGGTATCGTCAGATATATTGGGAATCATGAAGTCAACGTGCATAGTAGAATCTACATATCCGTCAAGACGACAATGAACTTCTGATTGATGGCGGACCGAATTATTGGCTGCAGCTCTTCTAGAGATAATCTTGAACAGCAAAATTTTGCGCCTGGCCTGTGAACCAGTCCTCGCTCAGGGGATCAGGAGCGTGACTCTGCCCATGGTACGCAATATTACCGACACCAGAATCATACATGACCTCGTAGCCTCGACATGAAGATTCGTTCGTACCTTGGGTTTGTTGACCTTCCGCATGGGGCACCGGAGCTCCTATGACGCAATTAGAGTTAGTAGAGAAAGAACGAAAAGCAACCATTTCATGAGGACAGATAAAACCAGAAATCAAGTTCGTTCAACATACCAGTATTCCCCCGTTCTTGTAGACGATTTCTGAGACCCTCAAGGACCTGAATTGCCCGTGTTGCGGATTCGACTTCGGGCGCGTAGTGCCTAAGTATCGCCATTGCTAGAGAAAGCGGGTTGTCGACAGAGGTTCTGGTGTCATCCTGAGGAGAGCATAGTAGTGCAGCTATGGCGATAGTGCTTGCACTGAAGGTGACTAGTGCAAGAAAGTTAGATATGTTGACGTACTAGCTGATGTAGTTAAAGCGCACAGTAAACGGTCCACCATGCTGAGCAACTGTATACACTATCTATGCCATGATACAACACACATATCAATTCATGCGCTGTACTCAGACACACTTGGCACATCCTCCTGGCTAGTTCCACTCCCAGGCTGTTCTGGTCTGGTATGGTCGAATCCAGATTCCCATCTGAAGCAGAGCGGGCCAGGTACGGAATGAGTGGTCGAAGCAGGAGAAGACGTATGTAAAGGAACCTGAAAGGGATGAGTGTTCGTGATAACAATGGTTTCGACAGGTTTTAACCAGAAGTCGCACCTGCAGTACAAGACCCTGGCTTGAAGCAGAGAATTACCCGTTGAAACTCCTGAATTCTCTGAAGGAGCTTGCAGTCGCAGTTCCCTTGGCAGAGATTCAAAGAATTGATCCAGTTTCAAATTCAGTCGCAGCATTTCGTGCATGTCCGGCGTGGATCTCTCCAGATGGTTACCAGTGGTGGAAACTTGTGCACCGCCGTTTCCTGGATAGAAAGAAGATAACACCTCGTTCAAAATGTCCAGGAGGTGGATCGAATGTATAAACACACCTATTCGACATTTTGATGCTACTGGCTGTGTACCTTCTCCATTCTCCAGAAGATACTCGTCGTCCACCATGAGTGGTAACGGTACCAGTGAGCTATGTGTGAGCATGGCCGGCCTCCCGAAGGTTGTGCACATTAACCTTCAGGTGGTTATACATTTGATTAGCCACCATTTTCTTGTCCCGACGCACGTACCGAGCTGCTCCCTTGACATATTGCTTTGCTTACCTTTCTAATGTTACACATGTGTACCAGATCCGTCTCCTCATTTCTCTTTCGAGTTGATTGCTTGATATGGAATCGCTGCGGTCGAGATGGAGGCCGAGACTTTGAGCCACTCGTATCGCAAGCCCCACTAAGTTCCAACACCGACTCGAATACATGGTCGACTGGAGATGGAGAGCGGTTAATAGTAGCATCTGGACAACCGGTAACGAGGCCACATCGAGAGCATCAACTGACACAATTTTTCTCGCACGTTGGTAGAAATGATCCGACGTAGAAGTTCGGCTTCCGATATGTACAATAGCGCTGAATCGACAGCCAATTGCAAGGACAAGGTTCAATGTCGCCAGCATGACCAGGTCGTCAATTGTTTCCGGCATTTCTGTCAAGGTTGCTGGCTCCCAAATATGCCTATAAAACTGCATGAATGCCGGTTTGTGCAGGATGGGGAATACGGAATGCGGAATGTCCCAGAAGCACTTCAAGTAGCTGTCCGCGACCTTGCGAACTGGGAGAAGGTCAAGGCCGGACAGTTGACTTGCCTGTCGTTCAGCCCGCTCTACACCAAGCGTTTCGAGATTGCACTCGTCTGTGTGGGAGTTTGATAGCTCGTCAAACCTGATTCTTTTGCCCAGGGTCACTTGTATGCGTTCAACGAATGCGATTGTTGAAGATGCCCCATACTGTACACCAGGATCCCGGTCACATGGGGAGACGGTTGCCAGCGCATCGGAAGATTTCGTTTTACTAGCAGACAAAGCCGTGTTGGATGCCATGCAAATTGTGGATCCACTGTGCGTTGTAGACCTGACAAGAACATCGGCACAGCGGGACGCTTCTATTATGTCATCTTCGCGATGTGCTGAGGACTTTGGCCGATGGTTTGCTGCAAGAGTCAGTAGCCATGTCCTTGTACTTCGCACGGGGCGGGACTCTGGACGCAGCCTACTTCTAAACGTGTTCACAGTGCTATTGCTCTGACTAACGATGGGACTGTCACCTAACCACGTATGCTTAGGTTGGCTTCCCCTCTCCAGTTGCTCTACCCTGCTTTCCAATGCCTGGATATGTCTGCGGAGTTGTTATCGGCGGAATATAATTGAATTTTGCGGTGCAATAACATACTTGCGGGTGTTTAGTGTTCCCTCCTCATACAAGCAATCTTCTCCCGAGTCACGTCTTTCACAGGGAGAGCAAACTGGACGCCTGCCGTCACAGCGAGCCTTGCGCATGCGACAGCAGTTGCAGGCCAGTGGGGTTTTGCGACGCTTCGAGGGCCGTGCCTCAGGAAGTGTGTTGGTCGCATTAGCGAAGCTAGCGAAGACAGAGTCCAATCCGCTCTCCAAGCTAATCCTGGCGGACGACATCTGGAATTGGCACTAACGGCTAAAGCTAAGAGGTGGAGAACACGTCGATAAGTAGCTTGATGAGCTTGGATTATGCCTCTTTGACGCGTGGGTGAAAGAAAGACGAGCCAGATCTCAGGGCCACGAGCGGCCTAAGGTTATGTACAATGTCGCAGAATTGCGGGGTTGAGTGTGGGCAATCGCAGAAGTGGGGAACTCTACGCTAATAATTGCTGTTTGTTGGGAGCCACCTGGACTCCGGGAATTGAAAACGGCAGTTTTTAGATGTTGCCAGGAAATTCCTTGAAGCCAGCTCCCATATAGTCAGCACCATCCACACTTGCTGCAATGACCCCTGCCCTGCCACCGAACAACAAACCCATGCAAGTTATGAACAGTTCATCAAAAACTGTTGGCTTACACCACTTTCGTACACCGTATGTCTCGGACTGAACAAGTGGCCTGATCTTTAATCATCCGACGAATCGATTCAACATGTATGCCTGAAACGAGCGAAGTGAGAGGAAGGGGTTACCTTCACGGGCAACGGATACACCTGTTGTCAGAATACTTTATTTACGTTATCGTTAAAGTATTCGCATTCTCACTCGTGGTGCAAAAAGCCTGCGAATACAGATATGATTACGAATATTCGTAACGAATATATGTATCGAATAATATATTTGTTATTCATGCCGACCTCAATCGGGCGTTCCTGGGTTGCGACTAAAAACCGTTGTTCGCCAACCATACGCTAGGACTTAAGACACACGTAGTATCCTTCATGTTGTCCATAACACCGTGGAGTCATCGCTCCCTATGTGTAATTGAACCTTCGCCAAAAGCATCAAGCCTTTGTGGGTGGGAATGCCAAGCCGAGCAAAATGGCGAAAAGGCTACTCAGCATGCATCTCTTCTGGGCTAATTAGGAACTGGCCGACATCATATACCCTTCATCAGGCAAGAGGGATAGCTTTCTGGTGTGAAAAAGCGAGCGTAGGCGATCTCATAGTTTGTAGGGAGCTCTTGTAGGAGAGTAGGATGCCCTCAGGTGATCGGCCCGTATCATACATTTCGTGCATATTAATAAGTTAGTTCTTCCGTTTGTGCGGTTTTTGTTTTACTGAAATACCGGTTTCCACTAGTCGACTTTAAACGTGAATTATTCATATATTCATGACTTTGCGGATATGAATGTCACTCTTATTCCTATTCATATTATGCAATTAATATAATTCATATGCGCAATTACTCATGAATGTTGCCTAAATATTCCTTTCCGAGCCTTAGTCAATTGTTCAGCTGGCGCCCAGAAACGAAGTGTGGTGTCTGAGGGGTAAACTGTTTTCGGATATAGCTGTAATATGAATGCGAATATATCACGCGCTTATTCGCATTTATCTGTTCCTTTCCGAGCCCTAATCGTGGCTCAATCGGAAACTCATGACTCAGCTCTATTGGTACATCCCTAGCCAAGCACCATGTCCTACAGCGTTGACATGACCGTGTTGACATATAGCATACAATACATCAGAATCACAATTGCACGCCAGCATTTTTACTACTATCGGAAACATTATCAGTGGAACATCACCACCTGTGAATATATCCGTCTTAAGACACTGTTATACAGCGAAATACTGTCGCCTGAGGACCATTGTTGTATTCTGGAATACATGTTTACAATTACCTTCGTCCACGGTAGAATAGCGGAGGTCGCGTTCGCCAAGGCCCTGAATGACCCGAGGAAATAAAGATACATAAACACATGCCGTCATAGTCCGGCTTAGTGGTCATTTAATTGCCGAAATTTATCATGTTAGGCCAAGCATAAGGACCGAAGTGTTTCGTGTCGGAAGGTCTTTCACCCTCCCGGTGCTCTCGTTCCACTACGCAGTCTTAGCGGCTTGAGCAACCGCATTTTGTTTCCGGCCGGGATCGATTCCGGATTGCGGGGCGGATCCACTGTGACAGGGAATGCGCGGTACTTAGGGAGTCGAGTTGGTTTCTCTTGCGGAACCAATAGACGAGTTTCTGGTTCCTAAGGAATACGCGTAGTAAACTCCGTCATGCAAGCCGTGAGGAAATGTGGCCTGTTATGTCTTCTAAATCCGTAGAATTTCGGCACTTGGCGCGTAGTGCCGGTCTGGCTCTCCCACTAGTGGTTCAGATACCCGAAGGGTTCGCTCTTCAAAAGGGAGCCTTAAGACGGTCGGTTAGAAAGAATGAATACTTCGATATTTACCCTTCATACAAAACGGTTGTAGAATTGACTCCGGGCTATCTTACAAACATCGGCTGATGCTCAAAATGTCGTCTTCGTTGGCTATAGTTGGAGTAGAAGGCCGCCAAGTTACAGGTGATCCTTTTCCCTTTCCGCTCTGTTTGATATTGATCCAAGTCCCCTTTTTCCTCGACACTAATATGTTGTAACCTCGTACAGTTCCTACTGGTCTTTTCATTCACAATGAATTTGTGCCGTCTCTGACCGGCCAAACATTGCGCTTAGAGAATCCCTCAACAGGCGAAGAGCTCGGAACCATCTCCGCTGCCGGGAAAGAGGACATTGACAAGGCCGTAGAGTCGGCCAAGGCTGGCCTCCAGGCCTGGAAAGCAGTCCCAGGGTTTGCGAAAGGTCGCTTTCTCCTGAAGCTGGCCGATCTGATTGAGCGCGATGCCCAGGATCTGGCATCGCTCGAGGCTGTGGATGCCGGACTGCTCTTTACGGATTCCATGGAAACGAACATCCCACAGGCGCTTGGCTGTCTTCGCTACTATGCTGGTTGGGCTGATAAGATCGATGGGAAAGTGCTCGAGATGGATGGTGGTATTGCCTACACCCACCGTGAGCCGCTAGGTGTCTGTGCTGCAATCGTTCCTTGGAATGCCCCACTGTAAGTTACTTACCCATTTCCATGCGAGATATCCCCGATGTCAATTAACGGTGCTGAAATTGACATCTCCGCCGGCCGGTAGAATGATTACAATCTGGAAGCTTGCCCCAGCGCTGGCGACAGGCAATGTCCTGATCATCAAGAGTTCAGAGGTGTCTCCACTTTACGCTCAGCGATTGGCGCAGCTCATCAAGGAAGCAGGCATTCCAGCTGGAGTAGTAAACATCGTGACCGGCGAAGGAGCCGGCGCTGGCCAGGCTATTTCCGAACATATGGAGGTCCGCAAAGTTGCATTCACCGGCAGTGCAATCGCAGGTCGCAAAATCCTGGAAGCTGCGTCACGCACCAACTTAAAGAAAGTGAGCCTCGAGCTGGGCGGCAAAGGCCCGTCGATTGTCTTCGACGATTGCGATCTTGAAAATGCCCTGTTCTGGACGCGCATTGGAATTACCGCGAATAATGGGCAGGTTTGTGCGGCGGGTTCGCGCATCTACGTCCAGGATACTATCTACGATCGCTTCGTCGAAGCGTATCAAAACGCCGCCGCCAACAATCCAACCGTCGCTGGCAATCCGCTAGATGCTGCGACTACCAAGGGTCCCGTGGTGAATTGCACCCAGCATCAGAAGATCTTGGATTATATTCGGCAGGGTAAGAAGTCTGGTGCCCGGTTGCTGTTCGGAGGAGAAAGATTGGGCAAAAAGGGGTATTTTGTTCAAAACACAGCCTTTGCAGACGTCGCGGATGATGCAACAATTATGCGTGAAGAGATTTTTGGTCCCGTTGCAGTAAGTTATTTCCCACTAATTCTTCGAGCCAATGATATTTACTCCATGGGAAATTCAGAGCATTGCCAAGTTCTCCACCGAGGAAGAAGTTATCACCAAAGCCAACGACTCTCATTACGGTCTCAGTGCGGCCCTTTTCACCAATGACATCAATCGCGCCCACCGCGTCCCGAAGGCACTTGATTTTGGCCAGGTCACGCTAAACGCATGGGCAGTGCTCAGTCCCAATGTTCCATTCGGCGGAGTGAAGGAGAGTGGGTTCGGGCGCGATATGGGTGAGGATGCCCTTGAAGGCTGGACAACCGTCAAGGCAGTCAAGTATCATATCCTTCCACGCTTCTAGACCGAATTTTATGACAAGGACGAGATGCCTTTGTTTTATCTTGGAATTGAAAATCCATTTCTCTGTACCATTCTTTCCTTCGCTAGGTCACATTTTACCTAGACTGAGGGCTTGCTGGGGAATATAGGAGATTAATTGCAAGGCGTACTATTTCACAGAGGATATTTAGTTTTTGCTGCAGTACATCACTCACCCATCTTGAACATGCTATCGATGTTAGGAGGGACAAGGGAAGGAGAAAAATTACCGGCACATCAAAGTGGCGTGTAAGGAATCGACTTGGTGTTTTTCACTTCAAGTCTTCTCCGGTAAGCATTGAAATAGAATGCATCTTATCGAAAACATTTCTGGTTCATATCGGGCCATGATATCCTGAAGACGGGCCAGATTCTCGCCATAAATGCCATAAATGTTAGTCACAAGGAAGTCGCCCGCTGGTACGAAGGTCAGTATCGGCTTCGAAAGCACAGCTCTGGCTCGGAGCAAAAGGACTTACGGTTAAAGGAGTTTCCGACGTATGTTTTGGAACCCAATGTTTTGGTCATGATCAATTGGAGAATCCAAATCATGCTCGGGCAGTTACTCCAATTTATTGTATGCGGAACTCAGCGAGCCATAGCGATGTTTTCATTAAGACGTGCCCTTTGCTACCTGTGCCCTGTGAAGCTAATAGTCTACCCTATCCAATTGTGGTGCATCACTGAAACAGGATCTTTGATTTCTAATTCACTTATATATCAATAACCTTCCCATCCAACCAGTCCTTAGAAAACTGATAAAGTAGATCATGCTTTTCTCCACAAACAGTGTCAAAGTGCCTTCTGTGCCCAGGCATATCTTTTAGCACAGCAACACCCATGATGAGCTCCTGACAGTAGGCAAGACACTTGTATCCCTCAGGATACGAGTTGAGCTTCTCCTCATCGATCCGAGGA